TGTATCTCCTATATGAGTCATTGATAAAAATAAGAAACTAAAAAAACCATTGTTATTTAAGATTAATATGATTGTAATAACAAATAAACCATTTTATCCTGGTGAATAATATTTACCGTGTAAAGGGTTATTTTGCAATGCTTTGTGGTATATTTTTTCCGTAGGATCTTTATTCCTTACGGTGGAGAGGGACTGATCAATGACTATATATATTTATTTATTATTTATTAGAAATCGATCAAATTTTGAAATCCTTTTCCAAATTATAATTTTATACAAGTAGCTTTGGAAACCTGCTTGTTTTTACAGTTTTTGGTGTATTGCCACGTCAATTTTTTTTTTATTTCATTCGAAAATTCTTACGAAGGATCAAGAGATAAAATATAATAATGCTAGTTTTCGTCTAAGATAAAAATAATACTGATTATGCTATTGTATTGCAATCACAAGAATTGAAAGTAAAGAGGTGAGCAAATGCATCTATGTAACTTGAAAAAGTGATTTACAGAAAGTAGCTACAAAGCTTATAAAGTGATAAAAGGAAAGAGAAAGGAAGATTGCTTACGTGGAATCAGCTGACAAACTTTAAAACTAATCTAACCAACCAGAGAAACTGATTAACTAAAAACGGTTGATCTTGTTATGTACACGTGGCCATAATAAGGGTTTTCTTTAACTTCAGTTGAGTGTGGAGCTAAGTTTTCTGAAATGGATGGTAACACTGTCCACTGGCAGTCTCACGAGGGTTGGATGGTTGACCAACACTGCAATTATAGCTAGCATTCTCTTGGCAAGGGCATTTTGCCTAATCATGGATATTTTATTGAAAATATTACTTGTAAAGAAAGTAAAATTAGCGGGAGGGTTATCCTATTTTAAAGTTAGAGAATACAATAAGCATGAGCGACGACTGACAAAGATACTCTTGCAAAATATTGTATGACTATGAAGTCTTTTTTTTTTTTAAATTCATATATTAATGCCGAACACATAAATTAGGCTAAAATTAAAATTAAAAAGAGAATTGTCGATTCTCAAAAATAATGAGCCAATTATCATATCCTTTCTCACTCTAATATAGTAGTTTGTTTATTTTTTATGTTGATTTATAAAATCAAAATAACATGTCTCTTTATTAGTACACTTATTATAGTATCTTTGAATTTAATTCTTACAATTTGAAAAAATTAAAATAAATACAAGAAATAACTCTAGCGGATAAATAATTGAAAATGGCTTTCTAATTGCATCAAAAGTAAATAGTTTGTAATTGTCATGATGATTTTAGGTTATAATAAAAGAAGTAAGCTGTTCTTTTAAAATGATTTTTCGTTACATATATGAGATAAGTTATTGTACCTATCTTTATTTTTATACTTATTTTGCCTACCACTCTCCAACACTATTATATCAGAATCTCAATTAACTTTGTCAAAGTTAGTTGAGATTCTGATCTAATGACATTGGAGAGTAGTAGACAAGGAAGACATGAAAAAAAAGGTAAAATAATATATATAGAGATATATTATATAAAAATGTTAAAATGAACTATTAATTAAATGGGAGAGGTTATACTTACAACCTATTTTCCTTTACAACTTCTTACAATCAATATCTTAACCGTTGATTGACGGAAATCAACGGTTAAGATATTGGTTGTAAGAGGTTGTAAAGGAAAATAGGTTGTAAGAGGTTGTGTAACACCCCAAATTTGTAACAATTTATAAAACAATCTTATAATAAATAAATTGTCAAATTTTTTTTATTTTTTTTTACAATTATAATAATAGAAATATTGCGGAAGCTAATCTAAATCTAATTTGGGGAATGTTACCGCCGCACCTGTACAATGGACAGGTGCAAGGCTAAATCTATTACATTAAAATAAAACCAAAGACTAAATTTTAAATAAAGGAAATATGTCTTATGCATTTATTTAAGGGTTTTCGTTTTATCCTTTAACATAACACAACAAACTTTCCTACTCTCACAACATTTTGTGGGGCCCACACTTTTTAAAACAAAAAATAAATAAAAAATTAAGGCACGCAAAACGAATCTCTATAACATTACACAATCATTTTTCCTACAACATAACTCTTATAAAACCCTTTATTTAAATCTCATAAAATTTCTAAACTTAAAAACTAGCTTGAAATATCCGAGTCGTGATCCTCACTGCCCACAGCTAGCCCCATCCTTTGCAACATGCTTCACTGAAAATCTGCTCCCCCGCAGCCGCAGGATCATTGCAGTCAACAAACACAAAAGTCAGCAAAACTGGTAATCCCAATCAAAATACAAAAATAAATAAAGAGAACTCATAATAATTAAATCAAGTAATATAACTCAAAAATTCAAATCAAGTATCAACTCGTTATTAATTATATTAATCTTTATTTAGTCCATTTATTGTATTTAGTAAGGGTAATTTATCAACTAACATATTCAGCACAACATTAATCATAATATTACATAAATGGTAATATTCACAACTCAATGACATTCATCATAATCAAATCAAATAACATTTCATTATTAATCATGTTTAAGTTCATTGTACTTAGTGGGAAGAGAACCATGGTAGACCCGGGAAACCCTGCCAGTCTACCCCGTGACCCGGGAAAAAACCACTGTTACCAGCCACGTATAATCAAAATTGGCCATAATCAATTCACATCTTCCTAGTGTGCACACCTCTTCCCAAAGTTGCTACTAGTACCCCGGGAAAAAACCACTGTTACCAGATACCACTTTGGGAAGAACGGATATAATCTTTTTCACATCAGTTTCACATCGGAGGCATAAAGTCCAAAAATTGTGTTCATCACCTTGGAAAGTACCATCCCAAAGCTATCCTCCCACCATTAATTTATTACAAACACTCAAAATCAGGAAAGATTCAATCATAATTATTTATTCTTTAAGTATTATCATCTCTAAATGAGTTACTCAAGGGCATTATAATTTTCCAAAGTATCATAATTCAAACAACTATTATCATAAATTTTTGAATTTATATAACAATTCAAATCTTCAACATTCATCATAGTAAAATCCAAATCCGATCATCATCATAACTTTCCAATTTATTCAAGGATATGATAATTCAAATCTTCAACATTCATAACAGTAAAATCCAAATCCGATCCTCATCATAACTTTCCAATTTATTCAAGGATATGATAATTCAAATCTTCAACATTCATAACAGTAAAATCCAAATCCGATCCTCATCATAACTTTCCAATTTATTCAAGGATATGATAATTCAAATCTTCAACATTCATAACAGTAAAATCCAAATCCGATCCTCATCATAACTTTCCAATTTATTCAAGGATATAATAATTCAAATCTTCAACATTCATCATAGAAAAATTCAAATCCAATCATCGTCATTCAAATAATCCCATCACATCAATTATCATCGTTATAAATATTCAAATTCAATCATTAAAACACATATTTGGAAAGTTTTTCTTAAAGAGTATTATAATTCCATAATTTTCATAATTATTCAATAAGATCCATATATTGCACATGAATTAAATTTTATACCATACATTGCACATAATTATAATTTCTAAAATAATAACATTTTATATCATATATTGCACATAATCATAATTTCTAAAATAATAAAATTTTCCAAAAATATTCTAATTATCATATGTAGTAATTTAAATTTGAAAAAAAACAAATACCTATATATATAGAAATGTTCATACCAAACTATTAAGAACATCTACGGATTACATATAAGGATTATGCCCAAATTTCATATAATAGAGATAACCTAAACACCCAGGGATTAGGATTTCATCCAAGTTTTATATAAAAGAAATAACTACGAATAGGATTACATATACCAAAATTCATATCAATATAATCTATGACTCTCTAGGGATTAGGATTACTATTAATAAACTTCAAACAAAATTATAAACTAAGGATTAGGATTACACATACCAAATTTCACATAAAATATAATCTAAAAATACCTAGGGATAAGGATTACACATACCAAATTTCACATAAAATATAATCTAAAAATACCTAGGGATTAGGATTACTATTAATAAATTTCAAACAAAATTATAACCTAAGGATTAGGATTACCATTAATAAACTTCAAACAAAATTATAACCTAAGGATTAGGATTACATATGTCAAACATATAACTACCTAAAGATTATGACACACCCAATAAAATTTCATACACAACAAATCTACAACCACCTAGAGATTAGGATCATCTGGTCTCCGTTTTTGCTAACTTCTAGAAGAGAAGAGTAATTTGGGGCAGATAATCGGTTGATAATCAAAAAAATATAAAGATTGAAAATAATTAAAATAAACTTTTTGGAGTGAGAAGAGAGAGAGTACTAGAGGAGAGTGAATTGGTTTGGTTAGGCTAGGTCTCTATTTATAGTTGAAGTTTTGGGCTTATACATTACTGACTCAATGCTGACTTATCATATCTAAACAATTTATGTTTGTTGACTCATCTTAATCCAATCAAACATTACCAATCAAATAACCAAACATTAAAGCATAATGATCAATCAAATAATCACAATTTATCACCCATTATTATTATTACTAATTTATAATTTATTACTATTATTAATTTATTGTATTATAAATTACTATTATTCTTATGGGATATTACAGGTTGTAAAGGAAAATAGGTTGTAAGTATAACTTTTCCCTAATTAAATAAGGGATATGTTATTCTACCTACTATTTTTGTTGCCTACCACTCTCTAACACCGTTAGATCATAATCTTAAGTACATTTTTTTATTTCTCTCTCCTATTGAGATTATGATGTAAAACGGTATTGAACAGTGATAATTAGATAATTAAAACGACAGGCTTCAAAGTTCCAAGAAACCCAAGTGTGGTGAGCCCAATAGGTGTCCATGTGTTTGAGTGAAGGAAGGGCTATGATGAAAGAGGATGAACATCCTCACCTTCCAAGTTCCAACTGCCAAAGTCCAACTAAACCATTTAGATTTAGATTTAGGCGGAGCTTTCAATTTGGCACCGCCCTCGTTTGCATCGACACATCTACGTACTCATCGCCACTCTTCAAAAGCCACACCAACACTTTCACAATCACATTCACCTTCTCATTTCCCTAACCCCTTTCCTCTCTCATTCACACACCATAGCCATTGGTAAAGCACTACATCACTCATTCACCATGTTTAACCAACAATAACACTTATCAATCATTGTTTATCTTTTTCTCACATACCTTACTTTTGTTCCTTTCTTTGTTTTAGGAAATGGAAGTCACAATGTCTGCGTGCAAGTCTGTTAGCTCGCCTCCTGTTCCCGTTGCAGTAAGTGTACTCACTCATCCCTTTTTTTTTTTTTTTTTTTTTTTTACCAAAATTGCAATTACTAAACTAATTATATTAATTAATTCATACAATATTGAATTATTCTGAATATGAATCGGAATCTGATTCCATATTGAACAAAATTTAAGGGTTTATTTGTGGGGAGAGGTGGAGTGAAGAGTTCCCAATGCAGCTTCTTAAATGGAACGAATAAGGTGAGGTTTCCTAGGCAAACAGCTCAAGGTACTCACTTTCACAAACAACACCAAACACGTCGTTGTGGGGCTCTCCATGCAACTTGTCAAGGTGATAAGATCCTGATTGCCAATAGAGGCGAGATTGCTGTTCGTGTTATTCGTACCGCTCATGAATTGGGGATACCGTGTGTGGCTGTGTACTCAACCATTGATAAGGATGCACTTCATGTCAAGTTGGCTGATGAAGCTGTTTGCATAGGTGAAGCGCCAAGTAGTCAATCGTAAGCCACTAAAATTTTCTTTATTAGTTTCACTTCTTATTTATATATGTCCATTTATGTACTTTTAGTTAATCCTATTTAATAAAATCTCTTTTTTCTGTTCAGGTACTTATTGATCCCAAATGTTCTGTCTGCTGCAATTAGCCGCAGATGTACGATGTTGCATCCTGGATATGGTTTTCTTGCTGAGAATGCAGTGTTTGTTGAAATGTGTAGAGAACATGGAATCAATTTTATTGGGCCTAATGTGAGTAGACTATGCAGTTTGTAGAATGCCCAGTTTGTTTGCATGTTGTCCCATGACTGGCCTAATTTAAAGCTTTACAATTGAGTTTGTAACAATACATTCACTGTCAAAATTTCACCTGGATGGACTGAATAAGACTTGTATAAAATTTCTCATTAAATGTTAAAATCAGCTTCTCTCCGAAGTATCTTGAAGCACGGAAATTCGATTGCTAATCACTATCACTACAGTAAGTCATCAGCACATCATACTGATATTAATTTATAGACACACATTGATATTGTATGATGAGGATTACTGTTTATCCACACTGACCACCTAAAAAGATTGTAAGCTAGCAAGTAAGCAAGTGGTTGCTGAATGTGACTTGGCTAAAATAACAGTATTGTTAACATGTATACAGAAAATGTGCTTGCAGAGTTGTGTTTGATATTCTGTTGTTTGTCTGTTTAATACTGAAAATTTTCATTGAAAATTGTTGGTGTGCAAGTGAAGTTCAGCTTTTAGGCATTTTTTCTAGCATTTGCCTAACTTTTATTTGATTTTAATGTATTAGTATTTGATGTTTTCTCTGTTAAATATGTAATGTTTCGTTAATTCATAAAGCTACAACAGAAAATCCATGATTCTAATATTTCCACGTTCAAATTTATTTGGTAAAACTGAATATTTAGTCAAATTTTTCAGCCTGACAGTATTCGGGTTATGGGTGACAAATCAACTGCCAGAGACACAATGAAGAAAGCAGGTGTTCCTACTGTTCCTGGAAGTGATGGGCTTTTACAGGTAATATATTAGACTCTGGTGTATAAATAGCTTCAGATACCTTCAATATAAAAGTTGGAGGTCAATATCAGATTCTATGACATCAATTTGATTAAAGCTATTAATGTAACAGAGCACAGAAGAAGCTATCAGGGTGGCAAGTGAAATTGGTTATCCTGTGATGATCAAGGTAGATTGCCTTATTATTCTGTATCTGTAACCTTACCTTGTGCCTATTTGAAGTCAATTCCAGTTTTTCTGCATAAATTTGTGTCTATCCAAGTATGACCTCATGCATTTCAATCTTCATGTTCCTTAATCAGTAAATATAATGGGATAATGAATCTTATTTGAAAGTAAATTTATATTATGATTAATCTAAATTTTTTGTAGGGTGGAGCATTTACAATTTAATGTCAAGTAAAGCTACCCAATGATTAAATATAGGCTAGTATCTTAACAAAAGTGGATATCTCGGGAGGCAGACTTGTCTATTGGTTTACCAACAAATATAAAATTGGCTACTATCTGGGCATACTCTCTTTTTCCTTTTTTAATTTAATTTTTTTCAACAACAATGATAAAGGTTTGGCAAAAATGTCCGACATAGGCAGGGTTTTTCTTTTTTACTTTTTATCCTTAAAATAATATTCAATTTGAAGTTGTAAGGATAATGGGGTGAGAATAGACTGTAAAAGGTTGAGAAAGGTAAGGAAAATTTTCTTCTGCAGAGTTGTGTAGTTACTAGATGAATTTCTGTCTTTGATAGTATGTTCTGTCCTTTTTCTGAACTTTGTACTAACTTTTGGTACCTTCCATGTACAAAGACAATTATGGTAGAACTGTCTCATGTTCTAGTTTCCTTGTTCTATATGATTCAGGATTATTGCTTTCAGTGAAATGATGGCCAATTGCACTTGCTTAGCTAAGTCATCTATTCTTTGCAGTGACATTATAAGTGTAAATTGAAGATTGTTATGGGTTGAATCTTTCTTTGGGCGAGTGTAGACTTCGTATTAGGTTCCAGTTGACCTAACTAGATTGGCCAAAAATAGGAAGGTATTACCATACATTTACCTAGAAAAAAAAATAATGTTGATTTGTCTGAAGGAGCTAAGTTGACATGCTCCTGCTTCCCTTTATATAAAGCTATAGGATCATCAGAATTGAACTCTATGGACACTTGCTCTCAAGTATTAGAGTATACGACTACTACAATTGTGTGCTGTGTTTCCAAAATTTGTGCATTGTGTATCTGTGCTAAGTCAACACTGATTCTGAATCTCTTAAACTGTTATAACAGCTTTATAACAGTTGACAGTTTTGGTTGTCAGTTGGTTACATAAATGATAAAGACACTTACACCTATAAAAGGGTGTACTCGTGTACTCATTTGTGCTTTGGCAGAGTACTCAACTTTTTACCATGATTATATTATTTGGTTCATGATGCATTGAAATGAACTATTTATTAGTGTCTGATATGGTCTTCTTTATGATTCTTTTGATTGCTGATTAAAACTGATTAAGGAGGCCGTGTAAAGTTCTTCTGTATAGTCTTCTTTAGCCAATTTATGTGAACTGACAAACTTATGGTGTTTCTTAGGCAACAGCCGGCGGTGGAGGACGTGGCATGCGTCTTGCTAAAGAACCTGATGAGTTTGTGAAGTTGTTGCAGGTATTTTTGCCTGAATGGAAGCTTTTGTTATGTTTTTTATACTGCTCTTCTTATCCTTATCTGTTATTATAGGCATAGGCAAAAGCTAACAAAGGGTAACCTGAAACTCAAATTAATTCAAATTTAGAAGCCATAGTTGTAGAGTTCATCCCATTGATGAAGATTAGACATGTGCATTTCTGTTGAATCTTTCTTTTTCAATTTCATTTTTTTGCAGCAAGCTAAGAGTGAGGCAGCTGCTGCATTTGGCAATGACGGGGTTTATTTGGAGAAGTACGTTCAAAATCCAAGGCACATTGAGTTCCAGGTAATGTTGTCCTTTTTTCTTATTCGAAATCTATAAGTTGATTGAAACCTGGGGATTAAGAGAACACTTTGAGGCAATTTCATCTATGAAAAATGTGGATCTGAAGGAAACATTCAAATAAGGGATTACTTAAGAATGTTAACCTTGAACTTTTGCATATGAGCAATGCAATAATTGACTGCTTACATCAAATACAAATATCCTGTTTGTCTCAGAGGTCTAAACTTGAAGCTTAACAATGCTTATTGGTGACATTATTCCATTTGGTTAACTAAATCCGATCAACAATGAAAAAGTTTATAACTCCAAACCGGAAAAAATTCCACACTGTAGTTTAAATTGGGGTATGTTCAAAAAATACAGTCCTCGTATTCATGCCAATTTCATGCTTTGTATTTGATTAATTTTTTTAATCATATAGAAGCACCTTGCAGCCTCCTTTTCTGGCCATATGTTATAGCAGGTAGAAGATAAAACCTGCATTGGGGATTTGGTAAATGGATGGTTTTATAATTTATTCAGTTTAGAAAAACAAATTAAGAAATTATTTTATTATTATTAAATGTTTTAAGTCTTTCTTTTTATTTGGGTTTATCGACTGCCGACCCCAACTAGTTTGAGATAAAGGTGATGTTGATGATGGATGATTTAAATGCTTAAGTCTTATTGAAGTACTTGCAGCTTAATATGTTTATGATTGATTGCATTTGTAAATAATTATACTGTGTGCTTAATTCATCTATCCCCCTACTTCATCGCTTTCCAGGTTCTTGCAGATACATACGGTAATGTTGTTCACTTTGGAGAACGTGATTGCAGCATCCAGGTACTATGAACCAACTTTCTGCATTTCTCATCTGTCTATATCTCTGTCTAGTTTATCAAATTAGTTATTTATATTAAGCACAATAATACTCATCTTGATTACATAAAAATGACATTTAAGAAAACAAAAAAATCAGTGTTTTTAATCTAGAATTTGTGACCTTAGTGAATTCAAGATGATAAAACTAGATTTGCACTATTTGAAGTATCTACAGGAAGTGTGTTTCTGACTAGAGTATAAATTTATTCTTATAACTCCCCATTTTAAAAGGTTAAAATGTTTTGGGCTGCAATTGAAGTAACTGCCGTTGCCATCGTGATGATTATTTTATAGAATTTTCTTTTCTTTTTTAGTTCCCTTTGGAGTTTTGCGCTCGTATGTCAAGTGCTGATGCTACTGCATAATAGATAATAGAGATACATATGTGATATAATACAGGAAATAAAATAAGAAAAACCGGAACTTGATGCACCTTGTAATTTCAGTGTAATTAAACAAGTTTTATAGTAAGATAGAAAGATCAAAATATAGGTGCTCTGATTATTTTTTTAATCCCTTTTTGTGATCCTATTTCAAGAGATCCTGCCTGAAGTAAGTAGTTCTGTTGATTGTGACTTTTCATACAGAGGCGTAATCAGAAACTGCTGGAAGAAGCACCGTCTCCTGCCTTGACCCCAGAGTTGCGGAAGGCAATGGGAGACGCAGCAGTTGCAGCTGCTGCATCTATTGGTTACATAGGCGTTGGAACAGTTGAGTTCCTCTTGGATGAAAGGGGTTCCTTTTACTTCATGGAGATGAACACTCGTATCCAGGTTGAAACTGATTTCTAATATACTTGTCTAATATGAAATGAACCTAGACAATAATTCCTCATACATACATGCTAGGTGTTCAATTTTTATGAGTTGTACAGAATAATTTCCATTATCTTATTTTCTTTTTTCTTTTTCGTTTTGGGGGTTGATTGGTTGGGATCAGGTTGAACATCCTGTGACAGAAATGATTTCCTCTGTTGATTTGATAGAAGAACAAATTCGTGTAGCTATGGGAGAAAAACTTCGATACAAACAGGTACTAAAGGAAATATTTTACTTGTGATTCTTTAGAGTCTTGATCTTAATGTAGTTTTTCCTACAGGAGGATATTGTGCTCAGAGGACATTCTATTGAATGCCGTATCAACGCAGAAGATGCTTTTAAGGGATTTAGACCAGGGCCAGGTATATCCATGTATCAGTGGTGTATTTCTGCAAATATGTATTAAAAGATAAGGAAAAATTGTAGTTTAATACCAGCTTCGTCATCTGTAATATTTGCTTAAAACACAATAGATTACATGCATATATTGGGTAATTTGGCCAATTAGCTTCTTTTTCTCTTTTGAAATTGATGTACCATGTATTTGAATTTTATTTTTTTGGTTTATAATTTATTTAAAAATTTTATTAATCTAAGGTATCTTCTCCCCTCAAACTACAGGTAGAATTACAGCATACTTGCCTTCTGGAGGTCCATTTGTCAGAATGGACAGCCATGTTTATCCTGACTATGTGGTTCCTCCAAGCTATGACTCACTTCTTGGAAAGGTTTGTCCATCTGTCTCTCTTTTATATCATTGATTTGTCACTCTCGTATACTACATACTTTATGTCTTCATGTTCCATATGAACAACAATTGCATACAACCTGTCTACATATAAATTATCTTAGTTGAAATTGTAAAGAACCAATTCAACCCAAAAGTTTAAGCTGTTGAGTGAGGCTATATTAATGGTTTTATATATCTGAACACGCCCCCTCACACGAGAGCCCACTGAACTTGAAGGGTGGACAATGCACATGCACCTACCTGTGCGAAGAAAGAAATTTCACTAGAAAGAAAGTGGGGGGCGGTGAGGTGAGGATCGAACCTGGCACACCGAGGCTCTGATACCATGTAAAGAACCAATTCAACCCAAAAGCTTAAGCTGTTGGGTGAGGCTATATTAATGGTTGTATATATCTCAACAGAAATCAATATTTACTACAAACATATGTGTTAGAGAAATATAAAACCACTAATGTAGCCTTACCCAATAGCTTAAGCTTTTGGGTTTGATTGGTTTTTTTACATGGTATCAAAGTCACGATGTCACGGGTTCGATCCTCACCGCTCCCCACTTTCTTTTGTAGAATTTCTTAGCACAGGTAGGTGGGCCTGTATATTGTCCACCCTTCAAGCCCAGTAGGCTCTCGTGTGAGTGGACGTATTGGAGATATATAAAACCAATAATGTAACCTCAACCACCAGCTTAAGCTTTTAGGTTGAATTGGTTCTTTACATGGTATCAGAGCCTCAGTGTCATGGGTTCGATCCTCACCGCCTCCCATCTAATTAATAATTAATTAAGTTTTGTGGAGTTTCTTAACACAAGTAGATGGGCCTGTGCATTGCCCATCCTTCAAGCCCAATGGCCTTTCGTGTGAGGAATTAATAATTAATTAAATCTTGTGGAGTTTCTTAGCACAGATAGATGAGCCTATGCATTGTCCACCCTTCAAGCCCAGTGGGCTTTCGTGTGAGGGGACGTGTTAGCGAAATATAAAACCATTAATGTAGCCTCATCCAATAGCTTAACTTTTTGAGTTGAATTGGTTCTTTACAATATGTCAATCATTGTCTTTTCCTTTTATAACTCTTCCTCAATTCCATTTTAAGTTTGTTTGTCTTCTTGATGCTTCGGCTTTTGGATTTAAGCAATGATAGGTTATAATTATAGATGCTAATCGGGTGATGACTTTTTTCACTTGTGAGTTTAACATTAGCTAATGTACAAGGCATTGGCTTATTTACTTTGTATGGGGCTGCTTTCAATCTGGTTGGATTCTGTAAGCTAGGAATGCAATTGGATACTGTGATTGTTAGAAAAGACAGTGATGTGTTCATATATGATTTGCAATTGATCGTCTGTATATAGTGTCACCACCCTTCTAAAGATAAGGCTTCTTGTAGTTCCTGAGTGATGTCTGTCAACATTAAATTTATCAGATGTCACACTGTTTGTTTCCCCTCGCAAGACAAGTGGAAGACTGAATGAACAGAATAAAAGCAAAAAAGCAAAAGTGTTGAAAGTATTCAATGAATAGGATCTAACATATTCTAAATGTAAGTTTCACTCTGTATTCAATTGTACAGGATCTAATATATACTTGTGATCCCTGTGATGTGCTGTGGTGAGGAGGTCTTGGGTGCAATCAACCAAACTATATATGAAGTGCTTGTTTTACTTGAAATCTTTTCTCTGTCTTGACTTTGTGAACTTTTTGTAGCTGATTGTATGGGCTCCAACAAGAGAAAAAGCAATTGAACGCATGAAAAGGGCACTTGATGACACTATTATCACAGGTAAAATAATCTGATATCTGTGGTTGTGATTATTCCGTTAGAAACCTGTACTTGGTGTAAGTCAATTGCTTGCCTGAAGAAAAGAAACAAATACTTTTCCTTTGCACCTTGGTTAATGCACTTTGCAAAAAGAACAAAGAAGTTTGTTTTAATGAACTGGATCCTCTGCAGCTTGAAACAAATTGCTGCCGGAGGTGCAGTTTTCTGATCCAAGGATTCTTATCCATTGAACTATCTTTGTCATAGTATTTACTTTATAATATTAAAATTTTTAAGGGTCAGATCTCTGCAGTTTTAAACCGTTCAGTTTTCAAAAGAACTGCAAATGATCTTAATCCTTGTTTTAAACACTTCACTTTCTACGATATAATTAACAATTACAATTTTGTTACAGGAGTTCCTACAACAATTGATTATCATAAACTTATCCTTGATATAGAGGTAGGTGCACCTTTTTTGTACTTTTGGTAACATGTATCCTTTAACTAATTTTTATTGTTCAGAACTCAGAAGTTAAAGGACTAATATATACAACAACATCTTCATTGTATTACAGGATTTCAGAAATGGCAAGGTTGATACCGCTTTTATTCCAAAGCACGAGGAGGAGTTGGCAATGGTAAGAACCTAATATAGCCCTGATAATATTTATGTCAATGGGTTTAAAATTATATCTCCTTGTTGGAGCTGCTTCAAAACAGTTTTGGTAGGAAAAACTCGCCTGAACTTTGCCTTTAGAACCATACACTGGGATCCTTCAGTACTATCATAGTTGTATATTGAACTTGGAGTTAATATCTCCAGTTCTAGCTGAAAGGACCCGTCCAAGATTTCGAGAAAATTTGTTGGATATGAAACTCTAGTGTTACGGTCCAGTTGCTTTTGCATCAGATACTCAGGAGTTTGGTGCGAGAGTCTCGCATCGGTGCTCATGAACCTGGTGTGTGATTTATTATGTCCTGGGATCTCAAACCTAATAAGCTAGTTTATGGGGCGTGGTTATCCCAAGATCCTGTAATAATTGGTATCAAAGCCTGCCATTGCATCTTCTGGTGCAAGCAGAGTATGGTGATGCTGGCCGGGCTAGTACAGAGCTAGTGTGCAGCCAACCCACATGGATGCTGGGCTGGGGAGCATGTTGGTATGTAACAGTCTAGTTGCTTTTGCATCAGATGCTCGTGAGTATAGTGCGAGAGTCCCACATTGTGTGGACATGAGGATGGTGTGGGATTTATAAGATCCTGGGCTCTCCAACTTCATAAGGCTTTTAGGGTGTGGCACTCCCAAGATTTAAGTCTTTTTTTTAAAAAATAAAAATAAAAATAAATTAGACTCTGGATGACCAAATCACTAGGTTCATGCATTATGTCAAACTGCTGTATTGAAGTTGAGAAGTGGTAAGTCCATAAACTGAAGATGTTCTTCTTTAAACTTAAGAGAATAAATGAAAATAAGACAATGATCCTGTTGTCAATACCGTTGTGCATCCTCCTATTGTGTTCTTGGAGTTTCTAAACGTTAACAAAAAAGTTTTCTAAATTGTCCTGTGATAATAGTTTTTGTTAATAATTTTTTTTTTTGCTTGATTTTGTGAATAACTTTATGTCCTCTTCAAATGCAGCCACCTCAGAAGATGGTACCAGTTAACAGGGCATAAGAACTAGCTGGCACAACTGCCTGATGCCACCCTTTTTAATCACTTTGTCGAGCGTTCATGTGGAAGTTTTAATGAAATTTTGATAATCAGTCTCGCACAATTCTCTTTGTTCACATAATTTTATTGTAAAATCAATTAATTTCATGTTTGATTTCATCCCAAATGTTAGTGCAAGGAATTGGGAATGCCTCCTTGCATTTTTTCCAAATCATAGTTGTCACAATGCTTCTTTAGAGGAGCTTTGCCCCATGGCTTGTTTGTAATTCTTGTATCAAGAGCTCACTTCTAGATACGGTGATAAAACTTAAACTTATCGAAGGTTCGGTTTGCTACATGGATCGATTGGCGTCACTAGAACCTGTTAATCAAACTTTCAGTACAATAATTTAAAGTAGTTGTTTTATTTTTCTGTATGTTTTCTTTAAGTCTTTTGTAGTTCTTTTGATTATACATATTTATTGTGTGTTTTCAACGTGAAGTGATGGATTTTATGTAATCCATCCTCTGCGTGACCATGTAACCATGTGGCATCAGCCATGGAAATAATCGTCGGGGTTGTGACATAGACTTTGATCATAGAAGAATGAAGACCTTGATAATTGGCATGTATTTGCTTTATCTTTGTTAAAAATTAGATCGTGCTCATTAATAGGATTTTGATATTTGAAATTGCATTTTGCAATTTAGGGAATAAAATAAAGACGTCATTTGTTCGTACTGCTTAAGCGAGTTCTGTCAAAATATTTGGGATTAGCTTATGCATAAAGACGACGACAGAAGTTATGCTTCTTTATTCAATATGTAAGCTACTCATACCCTGCCGTGGATTTTATTCCATTCTCAATTCTCATTCGATCACAACATCCAAATAGAAAAAACGCACTTTGGGTTTAGTGACTAAATTTGCTAAGTACAGTTGAAGAATTACAGTTTTTGCCTGTTCACAATCTTGAGTTTCTTCAAAGACAAATTAAGCTCAAACTTCACTTAGAAGCGGATGCCCGTTTTCGTGTTTATCTGAAAGCAAAGGTAAAAAGCATTACTACGAACTGCACTTCACATTTTGCCCATTGAGGATGAGCTTGAGCGGCTCTCATATCCGGAGATTCCAGACAGCGACTGAGAATCAGTCATAGAATCCTACAAGAAAAAGAAAAAGAAAAACATGTGAATGAGATGATTATAGTATAAGCCGAAAAAACAATGTGTGATATCAGTGACAGAGAGAGGTACTACACTACTCACTTGATTTGAGGAAAATGTGGAGCGTGAGTAATTGTTGTTATTTCTGGGAGCGAATCCGCCGAACCTCATCATCATGGGCATGTATTCTTCAGCAAAATCTCTGAGCTTATTGAGCTCAGGTAATACAACTTTTCCAAGATCAGGTCTATCTTTTCTTCTCATTTCTGCACACTGCAGGGCAAGCTTGGCAAAGTGCATGGCATGTTCAACTGGCCAGTCCTCAACAGCAGGGTCAAGCATCTCAGCAAAAGTTCCCTTCTCAATAGCTCTACTAACATGATGAGTCAAACCCATTGGTGGCTTTGCTGTAACTATCTGTAGAAGCATGATTCCCAGTGAGTAAATATCAGACTTGATTCCTAGCATGCCCGTTTGCTGATACTCAGGGTCAATGTAACAGAAAGTTCCAGCAGTTGATGTCATGCGATACTGTGTCACAGTGTCTGCAACTGAAGGAGGGACAAGCCTGGCCAATCCCACATCACTGATTTTGCTCACAAAGTTACGGTCAAGCAAAATGTTTCCTGGTTTTAAGTCACGGTGCACCAGTGGTTCTGGTTTTGCCTGATGAAGGAAAAGGAGGCCAGTGGCAATCTCTGCAGCTATTCGGAATCTTAGCTGCCAGGGAAGAACCGGTGAGTTATTACCTCTCCGGAATAGGCAATCATCCAAGCTTCCATTAGCCATGTATTCATACACTAGGCAACCAAACTCTGGGCATGCTCCAAGGAGGAGAACCATGTTTGGATGCCTTATGCAACTTAGCACTTCAACCTGCATGAATCAAATGCCAAAATTTCATTCAATTTAACAATCTTTAACCATAGTCCATTCATTACCTCAAAATGACATGTAGATGTTTTTATTGCAATTTTACACACCTCCTGCTGAAACTGTGACCGTCCTTGAGCTGCATCTGGTTTTAACACTTTCACTGCAACTGGCGTGTGATCTAGTTCACACCTGTAGACTGGCCCATACCCTCCTTCGCCGATCTTGAGAGAGTTGGAAAAGAAGTTTGTTGCTTCTTCTATTTCCTCAATAGAGTATTTTCTGTACCTGGCTTGAACATGTGAGACAGTATCTCCTGTCTTCTTCCTATGCTCAGATTCTGAATTCATTCTTTTATGTGCTTCCAACTCTGCTATTTTTCTAGAAGCGTCCGCTGCCTCCATGGCAGCTTTACATTTTGCTCTCTCCTTCTCAGCTACTGCCAATGCTGATTCTTCAGCAATTTTTGCCTCTTCCAATTTCCTTTGTTCTTCCATTTTCCAACGCTGAAGCTCCATTGTCTGTTGGAGAATAGTATTGTTATTATCTTTCCTCAAATGACAGTTTCTGTTTTATTTATGGCATGACATTTAATATTCTTAGAACTTGTTTGTTTGAACTAGATTAAAATCTGTAAGGTACCTTTTGCTTTGCTGACAGAGCTTCCTTGCAAGCTGTACTGTACATTTCCATTGTCTGCTTCAGTTCTAGCTTCAGTCTCCTCATTTCAGCTTCCACTTCATCCTATAATTTCAAAGCAGACATTTATTAAATCTTGTACTCCTAGGCAGGAGTTTGTGCGTGTAAATATCTCTAGAGTGTGACATAGATACTCAGAAACTTGACACAGTTAGAAAGGCATAAAAGAAAATCATGTGTGCTTAGGCATGTTAATAAGAAGATATTAGTTCACCATGTTGATTATATATATGTATATATTTTAGACTGAGTTTACCGAATTTGATAATCTTGATGTTGGTGACATGGACGTCCCACTGTCTTGGGAAGTGAACGAGTAATCAGCTTGATCAATAATTGACTTAGCTCCTGAGAAAGATGAACCGTAGCTTCTGCTATCAAAATCTGAGCCTGTTGAAACCCGAGGGGTCATTCCAGAGTCCATTTCTTCATACAATGAAGGGAACATCCTATCAATACTTGGCCTTCCACTGCTCACGAATGAAATATCAGAGTCAGGGATTGAGGACTCGTATGATCTGTGGGATGGTCTACCAACTCTTGTGAATGGTGATCTGTCCATAGGATATCAAGTTAGTCCTCTCAATAAACCCTCAAATCTTCTGAAGCTTAAAAATTGGTCCTTTTTGAAAAACCATCCATCACCATGTCTCATGTATATATATGTTGTGCAACATGCTGGCATTTGTAATTAGCATTCATATGTTTTATGCATGGCATGATAGTTTACGTGATTTTGAAATTTGAACATTAAGTTTCTACTTCCATCAATGCTTTTTCCCACTATATTCGCAATGTATTCATGATCTAGCTAGAGAGATGAGTATTCTTTGATTACTATGGGGCTAAAATTTCTAATAGGCAATGCCATTCGATATTTTCCCTTTTGCTTTGATCAGTGCAATTGTCACAAAGAAGACCATGTTAGTGACTTTTCGCTAATCATTATGAATGACTAACTGATTTTAATATGGACTATATATATATATATATATATATATATATATATATATATATGAAAAATATTTCTACAGGTAGAAATTTTTATCTGTCACACACTTTGTAAAGAGTACATAGACAAATTTTTTGACATAAACTATATTGCAGGACCTACTCTTTTTATTATGAGAGTGGCAGACAAACTTTTCTGCAACAACTGCAGAAAAATTAAACTCTGTATATATATAGATTGTACAGTTAACATGAGCTATATACATTATCATTGTTTGTTTAGTTAACTTCATATCCCCTGAACGAAGGATTCACGAATTACTTACTTGATTTCCTCTTCATCCATTAGCTGGCGGGCAACGAATGCTGGCTTCTCTGCTGATGCTGTAGTAGGTACAAATAAATTATGTGTTATATGAGCAATAATACCAAAAAAAAAAAAAAATGTTATGAGAAATGATATAAACACAGATGAGATGAAATGGGACAAAGATTAAAGAGAAGTTGGCATACGTCGTGGTGGATGGTTGCGCATTAGATATGCATCCATTCTGTCAGGACTTAGTTGAAGGTGAGGCTGAGGCTGAGGATGAAGCTGAGGCTGAGGCTGAGGCTGCGGGACCACTATATTGTTACGGGGTTTAGAAGTTAATGTAGCAGTAGCAGTTCGCACACTTGAGATTTTCCCTTTTGAAATAATGTACACAGTGCAGAATGGCGGTGCCCCTTTAGACACAAGGCCTGGAACATCCGATGTCCTAAATCTTCTGTCATAAAGAATTCATCAAAACTTGGAATTTGTTATGTTGTAAGTTGTAACTGAAACAAATATGCAAACTCATTCGTGTTTGTGTTTGTGTTTGTCAAAGCTAATTCATACCATTCAGCATTATTATTCTTTTAAACTATATATGGGAAACAAATTCATGCAATACGCCTTTTTCTTCAAAAATCGACTAACAAATTAACCATTGCTATTAATTGGTAAATCGGGTTTTAATTGCTAGCTTGCATTAATTAATTAATTTCCTAACGTTTGTTATCTTTGTCGAGATCAAGCATAGTTGCTTGGACTAGTAGTGTTTGATGAGCAAGAAGGAATCATCAAGTACCTGACAAGACCATTCCTTGATGGTGCCCCAAGTACCATAAGCTCAATGGAATACGATGAAATAGCTTCCATTAATGCCTTGGATATATCCATATCCTCCAACAAGATTTCTTTGCATTGTATCTGTTTGTTATAAATGAAGACAAATCATTGAAAAAGAAAAAGAAGAAAGAATCAGATTCCAGAAAATTACATGGGAGATGAGATGAACACCCATTTAATTAAAAGCAAGCTCTTTTGATGATATGAATTTTATTGCACTTTTTATTTTATTTATTTATTAATGTATTCATTTTCTTTCTGCTTTGCTCTTTAATTTTGTTGTTGAAAGATGGAAATGATGGTAGTAGCATATAATGTGTTAAAACTAACACTCTTTCTATTGCAGAAGACACGAAATGAAGCGAAAAGCTCCTTGGATTCGTTATCTATTTGTTGAGTGTAAGCTTTAGCCACATCCTCGTTGCCATCAACAGGTACATGGTTTCCCGCTGCATTCATAATCAATTCAAGTCAGTAATGTGTACATACATGGTTGTGTGCTACAAAGTGCTTATTCTGATTAAAAAGGGCCAAAGAAAATAGCATGAACTACAAATGCTTGTATGCATATATATATTTGCTTATATTAGAAAGAGAAAAAATGATTGAAATAGGCTTTTAATCATTCAAATTCAATCAATATAGGCATATAGAGAAAATTAAAGATAGCTAGAGTTTTAATAATTACTTGGTGTAGGAATGGAAGAAGCTTTTTGTCTAACATGGATTAATAAGAGATATTGGTCTTTAGGAAGAAGATTGTCAACTGCCCATTTGGCTGCAAATTGGCTTGTTTTGTTATTCTCAATTGCCACTGCCACCACACGTCCTGCGCCTAGTTTCTTCTCTGAAATCAACCTTGATGACATGTTTACTTACTTTTCTGAATATTCTCTCAAAGAATTATTGATGTTTGAGAAATTAATTAACTAGCAGTCTTTCTTAGCAGCCTTAATTTGCCTTTTTTGTTGTTTCGTTTGAATTTCCCTAAGACAAGACATATATGATGTTTTCCATGGAACAGTCTGGTAGCTCTATTTTAAGCAGGTTTTTTTTTTTTGAAAGTCCAATTGGAAGTTTGAGTGATCTGTTACATATTGCCAACCCTTTTATTGTTATTAGCTTCCAAAATTAGTGAACATTGACGAGTAAAACATAATTATGCAATGTACCATGACCAAATCACAAACACCGTGTAATCTAGCAAGGTTAACACGTATGGCAGCCATAATTAGTTTTATAAAATACACTTGTCCTTCTTCTCTTTCACCATCCTTTTCCTCCTCCAACAGAAGAACCCCGTTCAAAACTTTTCAATATATCTTCAATCTCTAACAGAACAGTTTTCTTTTTCTTTTAAAGAAAATTTTATAAATAGTCTTAGAAGCTACTTAGAAAAAATCTTAATAGTTACTACCTTTTTTCTTACTACTTCTTACTACCAAATCTTAATAGTTGATTTTCGTCAATCTAACGATTATAATTTATTTGAACTTAATAATTAATAAATAAGTGTGATCCAATAAATTATAACCGTTAATTGACAGAAATCAACAGTTAAGATTTGGTAATAAGAAGTAGTAAGAAAAAGGTAGTAAGTATAACATTTCCCTATATATATATAAACTTATATAAGAACCAATCTAAATTAACAATTCTCTGTACGTTGATCTAAGACTCAAACCTTATGTTCATTTTATTTTTTAATTTGTTATATGATTATTTGAAGGATATTTGGTGGGATTTTAAAAAGTAATTCAATGCATAGATTTTCTATTAAAATTTAAAAATAGTGTGTAACTTTTTTGTTTTTGTTTTTTATTAGTGTGTATAACTACATAACCAAAAGGATTTTAAGCCCGGAACCACCATGGAGGTACTTTTGTTTTCTTAATTAAAAATGTGACAAAAAAAAAATACTTTTCCCATAAATTAATTAAAAAACTCATAATAAGATAACACAATTCGTGCTAAATATTACTTGTGATTAAAAAAAAAACATATGTTATCATTAATCGTAACCAAGTGATGCACATTTATCTCAATTTGCAAAAAAACTTTAATTTGATTATCAGACTCTTTTGGTTTCTTCATCTCTACTTAATTTATATGAGATTTTACAACAATTTTGTATTCATTAATTTTTTTTTTTTGGTAAACATTTTGTATTCATTAATTTTAATCAGTAATATTAGATCAAATTTGGATCAATTATTTACGATTGACGTAAAATTAAAAGATATATTGTTTTCAATTGAAAGACCGTGATTTTTTGGGGTGAAATGTTAATATTTTTCTATGAATTGATATTGTTAAGTCTATTATTAGGGTTTTATAATTCGCATGTTGAATGAGAATTGAAATCTTATGTTGTAGAGATACAAAAATATGTGAGACTCATGTATTAAAAAAAATTATATGTAGGACCCATGTCAGTACGGAAATCGAAGGGTGTGTAGAAAAATTTTAATTCTCATGTTGAATGAGAATTATAAAACCCCTATTATTAACACTAGAAAAAATAAATAAAATAGACTCTTAAGTTTAAGAATGACAAGATCAAGACAGAAAAGTGCTATTCTCTTTCTAATGAGATAATATAGGAAGGGAAATGAAAGATGGAGGTTCTTGTAATCCCTCTCAATTAATTAGTAAATTATTCCTTCTTGTGGATTTCTTAATAAAGTCTCAGATGTGTGGCCATGCCTTGATGGTACAAAAAGAAATTTATATTTTAGGCACCGTAAGAAGTGGGGGAAGCCACTGTTAGAATTCAAAAGGATCTTGAGTTATATGATATTGATAAGGGGAAGGTTACAGTTACAACCTATTTTTGTTTACAACATCTTACAATCATATTTTGAATGTTGATTTTCGACAATCTACGGTTATCATTTATTATGAATTAATAATTAATTAATAAATTTGATTTGCAAAAATCTTAACTGTTGATTGACGGAATTAAGATATGGTTGTAAGAGGTTGTAAACGAAAATAAATTAAGATATAGTTGTAAGAGGTTGTAAACGAAAATAGGTTGTAAGTATAACCTCCTGTTGATAAATATGGTTGTATTATGACTTAAATTAGTGATCCATGGTTCCATTTCCATGATGTTTGCATGGTGACTCATTGACTACATAAACCACATATTCTCTTTTGTAGTTTTCATGTGATATTGTTAAAATTTGTGATTGGTTTAATTGACTTGTGTTTAACAGAAACAAACAAAATTAGCCCAAGATAAGAACCGGTTCCCAGAATTAGATTTGTTTGATGATTACTTGTTAATGTGATTTGTCTGATGGTTTCTTATTACTGTGATTTGCTTGATATTTCCTGTTCGAATGATTTGTTTGGGATTTTAATCCTGATGGCCATTTTTCTGCTCATAATCTATTTGATAGAATGTCTGAATCATAAATCTCATAATAGTGTGGTTTTGGTGGCTGATAAAGTTTGATTAATTACAATTAAAGGGATAAACTATAAAAGTTTTAATTTATTAGATTGAAATTCATAAGGGGGGAAAAACAGTGATAGAGATACTATAGTATGTCTATGCATTATGTTTTCATATAGGATATTGTGAATCAATCATTTATAAATGATCAAAATCTCCAGTTTTCCGTGATTTGGAATAGCATACGGAATTTAGAAACCCATGTCGTTATTGAGAGAGGGGGATTGCAACCAAATCCAAAAAAGGTGTTACTCTATGAAGTAAAGAAATAAGACAAGCCTTTGTTGGTTCAATTTTAACCTCAGGCCATTATCCCCTAATTTTTTTTTTTCTTTCATTTCTTGCACCAAGTATGGTTACATGCATCATGAAAGATCAAAAGAACAACAAAATTTCCCAGGTGATCCAACTCTCGTTCATGATCGCAGTGTTTTCAAAGGGATATAAATCCAAGGAATCAATAATTAAGGTAGTCTCAATATTCATCTTGAAGAGTTCATGTCTGCTTCGCTAGCATAAGAAGTATAAAAACTCTCATCAAGATCCCTCTCCTTTACCTCTTGGATTTTCTCTACTGCTTCTTTCAAATCCCATCTCTTGTCCACATCCCCTTCACAACAATCCAAGGCAATCTTCAAAAGCTTCACCATCTCTCCCTCACTGTTCTTGGTTGCACCCATTTCTTTATCAAACACTTCTTTAGTCCACTCTTCTGGGGCAATTGAATGCACCCAACTTGCCAAACTCACCTCACTTCCTTTACCCTGTTGCAAAAAGTTGGCAGGGAACTTGCCAGTTAGAATCTCCAGAATTAGTATACCAAGACACCACAAGTCAGTTTTCTTTGAAATTCTTCCATGTTGCAAATACTCAGGAGACTTGTAGATCACCATGATATCCTGAGCCATCTCTTGATTTATCACAGGGACTAAGCCATAGTCAGTGAGAAGGGGCTCAAAAGTTTGAGTCAGAAGAACATTAGAGGATTTGAGATTTCCATGGGGTGCTATTAGACTTGGCATATCCTTGTATAGATATTCAAGACCTTTTGCTATGCCTTTCACAATCTTCAACCGGATTGGCCAATCAAGGCTTGGTTCCCCTAGAGCTTGGTGTCCTGAAACAACAAGTAACTTGTATCATAAGCAAAGATATTTATTTTTACATATATTAACAGTGAACACATATAGCAGGGAAAATCTGTAAAGTTATTCTTTTGTGACTAAAAAACTACATGTTGGAGTCTGAAAAATAATATTTTAACAAAAATGTACTGGTAAGATTGACCCTCATCCATACCCTCACAAAAATGCAGTGCAGTTGGATGTGCCCTTTATAGTACAACGCATACACAACTAATAAACTTAAATCTTGCCTTCAATAAAGTGAAAGGATTAGATCTAAATCATAAATGAAAAACTAACCAAACCTTTTCTGTAATTGTATTTAATATATCTTTAAAAATAAAAATAAAAAATGTGTTCATAAAATATACCATGAAGGCGAACAGCCAGGCTTCCATTCTGAACAAAGTCAGTAACTAAGAGTTTCTCCTCCTTTCTGTAATAGTAAGCAACAAGAGGATGTAGATTAGGATGACTCAACCTTCCTATTCTTCTCATGTGCTCTTGAAACTCTTCCTTGCCTACATTGTTCATTTGCTTGAACCTCTTCACCACTATACTTGGGCCATTCATTAAAGAAGCCTTGTAAGAAGAACTGAAACAACCACTGCCCAAAATCTCAGCAGAGGCTCTCAGTAATTCTTGCAAATCAAACTTCTCTCTGTCATCCCTTATAAAAGTTAACTTCATGTGGTCACCTCTTCTGCTATGGGTGGAAGAACTCACTGATCTTGATGACCTGTGACTTTCATCACCTGCATCCCTCACTCCTTTGTTGTTTAGACTCGATGGTGGATTCTCCACCGAAGTTGTTGGTTGTCGTTTTCTTCTTCGATGAAGGATGAATATTATTGCAGCTCCAATCACAATCAGTGCCACACCAACAACTACGGCAACAATACAAATACTAACAATTGAAGGCTTCTTGGAATGACATGCTTCCAACGGGGCTCCACATAACGCTTCATTACCTGCTCATTTGCATGTAAATATATACTTTTTTAGAATATTGATGCTATACTTTAGGATCAAAACACAAAAATCAAAACACTTAATCATTATAGTTACAATTTTTGTCTGAATTTGTATATTGGGGCACCTGCATTTCGATCTTTTCATATATTTACGTGAGATTCAATGATTCTCGTACAAAGTTGTCTTGTCCATCCAACTTTTGTTAACTTAGCATGATTCACGTTTATTCCACTAAAGTTGATTACAAAAATCATTTATGGACATGATCATTTTATATTAGGTACACTCTCAATCTTAACTGTTGATCATATTTATATATAATGGTTCTAACTTAATAGATACGTGAATAGTTTGATGCAAGCAGATCAATAATTAAAATTGAGTGAAAAAATTCTTATTTTTATACCAAGCTAAGTTAATATGCATTATATATGATATATGTATATAATATATATTAATTGAATAGGGAGAATGGAAATGTGTCACACTCACCAGAAAAGGAAGAAACGGGCATCTTATTAAGGATGGATGGTATTTCGCCCTGCAAGTCATTATTAGCTATGGTAATGTATTTCAATTTGGTCTCTTTAAATTGGGGAATGAGGCCACTGAATTTGTTTCCATCCAACCTTAACTCCATAAGCCTTGGCAACAATGCCAGGGAAGATGGAATATCACCCTCAAACTTGTTGTTTGACAAATAAATTTTCTTCAACCACTGCATGCCCTTAAAAGTTTGAGCTGGAATCTCCCCAGAAAACTTATTATTTGAGAGGTAAATCGACTTGAGACCAACTAGCTTGTTTATTTCTGGCCATTCACCATCAAAATTGTTATTCATGAAGCTTATGGTTCTAAGATATGGTAACTCCTTGAGAGAGTCCACATCAATGACCCCTTTGAGACCCATATTCTCAAGCTTCAAGCCCCATACTTTTCCTTCATAGCAGAGAACCCCTTTCCAATTGGCATGATTACCTGAACATGGAGATGATGATGTGTTCCATGAGGATAATCCATTATTGTTTTCAAGGTTCTCCTTCACCTTGAGGAGCAATTCTGTGTCTGAAGCCCCATTAGAGGCAACAACACATGATAATAATAATAAGAGAATGAATATGATCCAACAAGGCCTGCCATTAAGTGCCATAGTAAAGGGTAGCACACGCACTATAGGCGGCGTGTGCGCCCTCAGGAAGGGCTTGCTTCGCAATGGAGAAAAGAGATACTACTTGGGGTGAAGAACAAAGGCATGGAGGGTTGAGAACTTTTGATGGCAGTGAAGGGAGAGAGAGAGAGAGAGAGAAGAAGAACAAAAGGAGAGCCAAGAATAGGAGACAGAGAAGCTGTTTACGAGAAATATTTGAGAGTGAGGTAACATAGGTTGACGAAGTCCTTTATTTCTTGGTTGCATAAAAATGTGTTTGTGTTTTCAACATGAGAATTACCCGGCCAGCCTTTAAATTTGCATAATATAGAACCCCTTTGCATGCCTCTTTTTTAGGATTATCTGCTGACTCTATATTTACCAAAGAATGGCCAACATTACAACACAGCAACTCCACTACATCATCAAGCCATGCCTTAATGCTACAAAAATGTTCCTTCAGGTTCATCTGCAAGGTACAAACTTTATCATCTCTGTGCACTAAGTCGACCACTTAACCTTCTCAAGTGAGTCTCATGAATGACATAAGCAAGTTCCACTCCATGACCAAAGGATTGACACAGATATCATTTACAATTTTTCACCCGTATTCGTTTGTTTTTTTTTTTTTTTTTTTTCTTTTTTTTAACTTTGGCGGTGAAAGGAAAACAAGCAGAATCTATACCAAATAAAGAATAAAAAGAAAAATATTATTAGGGTTTGGTGTTTGTCATTTTAAATGACACAAGTTACGTCATTTTAGGAGAGAAATAGACACAGAAAAAACGGAAATCATGGGAGAGATAAAGTTGGTGTTTTTTTAATTTAAAATTCAAATTTTCTGTGTCTGTATGCCTGTATCTCTCTTAAAATGACATAATTTTCTGTCATTTAAAATGACAAACACTTTTTCCATATTATTATATAGAAAAATATTTAAGTTATCTGCATTTATTTTCAAAACGACGTTGTTTTGAAAATAAAAAATTATAATTATAAAGACTATAATAACTCTGAAATAAATTAAAATTACAAAAACACAGTAATTTTCGTCCTAAAACAACGTCATTTAGGCTTACTGCAGATAACTTATCTGTAGTAACTGCAGAAAAAGCAAACCTTTTTTATAAGTCAGAACCCAAAAAATAAAATCACAATTTTTAGAGAGGGCCTATTGCAGCATGACACCTGTCATACCTCATTATAAATCAAGTAATGGGATATATTCTTTTATGCACTTGGATTATAATTTCCAAGTTGAAAAGGAACAAACACTTTAAATCAAATAAGTGATTACACAACAAAATAGCATTTCTATATTATACATACTAATGCTTGAACGTATTTTTAGTTAAGTCCGTAAATAACGTTTTAAACTTGTAATTCTTTTTTAAATTATCCAACTTACGTGTACAGATTTGTAACTACCAATTTTCCTTAAAACAAACAAAACAATAATAAGAATGCAAATCTACTTTAAATTGTTGGCAGAAAATAATATTTTAAAAAATTAAATTCAAACTAGGAGGTTAAATTTGGAAGAAGATGATTGGTGACTAGTAATTTATCAAATCACGTAACCTATTAACCATTCACTAATTTTGCAACCGAATTCAGACACTCCTTCCACTTTTCCTGCGGTAAGAGCCATGGTTATTATCAATGCAAGTGGGCGAAGAAACCAAAATGAAAGCGAGTATATATATATATATATATGCTTTAATATTTCTAAAGTGAATGTAGATAAGTTATCTACATTCGCTCTCAAAACAACGTAGTTTTAGAATGAAAGATTAAAAAAATTATAATGAAAAAGACTATAATAACCTGAAATAAATTATAATTACAAAAATATCTTAATTTTCACTTCAAAATAACGTCGTTTTGGGCTTACTGTAGATAAGTTATCTACATTAACTGTAGAAAAAGCAAACCCGTATATATATATATAGAAAAATATTTCTGTAGTTACTGCAGATAAGTTATCTGCATTTACTCCCAAAACGACATCGTTTTGGGATTAAAATATTAAAAAATTATAATTATAAAGACTATAATAACCCTAAAATAAATTAAAATTACAAAAACACTATGATTTCCGCCCAAAAACAACGTCGTATTGGTCTTACTGCAGAAAAAATGAACCTCTATATATATATATATATATATATATATATACATATATATATGGGTTTGGTGTTTGTCATTTTAAATGACATAAGTTATGTCATTTTAGGAGAGAGACAGACACAGAAAAATGAAAATCATTGGATAAAGAAAGTGAGTGGTTTTTTTTAATTTAAAATTTAAATAAAAAAAATTCTATGTCTGTCTCTCTCTTAAAATGACATAATTTTATGTCATTTAAAATGACAAACAATTTTCCCTATGAAGGGAGAAAAATGTTTGTCATTTTAAATGACATAAAGTTATGTCATTTTAAGGGAGAGATAGACAAAAAAAAAATATTTTTATTTAAAATTTAAATTAAAAAAAAAATCACTCACTTTCTCTCCTATAATTTTTATTCTTTGTGTTTATCTCTCTCTTAAAATAAAATGACATAACTTATATTATTTAAAATGACAAACACCAAACGAAGCATCCAAATGGATAAAATAAACTTCAGGCACCAACACAAAATAAGTGCATGTGTGAAATAATAGGTGGACGTAGATCTGGGGGAACAAAAGAATGGTTTAACTTTTCTTTCCACATGGAAAAGCAAAATAAACAAGGCTACAAACAATATCAGCTGCAAGCTAAGAGTAAAAAAGACTATCCACATGATCAGCAAAGGAGAGCCAAAATGCCAGTTTTGAATAATCCAGTGCGACTTCTTTCGCTAGAGCTGCTCGTAATCACGAAATGACAATATGGAAGATCTAATTGCAAAATATTGGATAAAAATGCAGCCCCGAATCAAAATAGGCGTGACTGACTCTAGATACATTTGGTTATGAACCTAGACATATATGGGCTTACCGCTATACGATGCAAGATTTCTACGACTTCTAAACAAAGTTTTACTCTTTCACGATGAAGCATTTTTCGGAGTCAAATTCTGCATATCCTACATCAACTAGACACAGGCCATCAGGGGGTGCTGGAGGAGCAGTGGCACGTCTACATGTGGCATCCATGAGCTTTAGCAAGGCATCATCTTCAGCACCAGCAGCAGCTTCTCTAATTGAGGTTGCCACAAGCACTCGAACCATCTACAAATATATGATTAGCCTCAACCAAATCAACAAGTGTGGGGGTGGGGATGGGGGAAACACACACACACACTATCAGGAGCAGCCAATTCTAGCCTGAATCTAGCATGCCAATTATTTTATCGAGAGGAAATAAAACTAAGATTGTAACAGGAAAACATAAGAGAATGGTACTTCGCAAATATTATGGGGCATAAAAGGACTATTAGACACAAGCTATGTACCAGAAAGCAGGCCCGTTGCATTTCCAGAATCAGGAAAACCTTCTCTGTGGGCAGAGCACTCAATTATAATTGGGTTTCATGAGCTATAGAATCATTTAGTAACAGTCAAAAATTACAATATCAAAAACGATATAAACCTCGTGTCCTTTAAATTGATTCATTTGTGTTTGTAGCATCAACTTGCTAATATTTAGAAAGATAAAGGCCTTACTCCAAGCCATGTTAACATATCAGCTTATACTCATATTAAGTTATATTAACCTTGCAATAAAATTTATGATGCTCTACTTTTCATGTTTACATAAACAAATTTCACTGTCTATATTTTAGTAATAGTTCCACATTAGAGAAGCCAAAACCTTCAATGTATACGTTTCCTCTATGGAAAGTAAAAACACACAACATTACCTTACGTAAAAAGCGATTAGCTACCAGCTCAATGCACATAACCTTTGTTTCTTCTCCATAATCCTAGAAAGAACACAAGAAAAATCAAACTTAAAATACAGCTTCCCTCTCAATAAAAACAACCAAAATATTCAGTAAAACTCAGGAGTTAGCATAGCTAGAAGTGCTTAAATGCCATCTGTCACTAGGAAGGACAAGGAAGACTTGAAAGATATCTTAGAAGATGCAATAAGTGTACACATACACTTACAGATATAGGAATTCAATAAATACACTTACATGCAATAAATACACTTACAGACATAGGAATTCATATAGCTTTTGAATGGTATAAACCCCAACACAAGGATAGTTTCTTCACATACTTATATATTAATGGGGAAAATCATTGGAAAGACATATTTGTTAAAACTACGTATATGCTTGAGACTGGAGAGGAAAATGAAGAGCAATATAAATCATGTAACTATGTATATTATGAATAAATGAAATCTTTTAATATTGAAAGCCATGGACAATTGCATAATTTGCATTTTTTTTTTTTTGAGCCCACCGGAAATGGATCAGTATGAAAATAGACCAGAATAGCAGGAAACAAACAAACAAGAGAGATGGAGAAGAAGAAATTATGTTATTCTATTATGGAGAGTGTGTGTGTGAGTGTGTACAAGGAGAATATCTCCCTTACAAGGGTAACAACCTTACAACTGAGCAACCTCAGTTAACAAATCATTATTCCATCCTCCTATTCTGTACAACTCCCACTATTTAAACTACCTCCTAATTAACTACTGCTGTAACCAATTGTGTTAAATAACTAACCCACTAGCCATCCTAGCGTTTATTCTTGCGTGAATACACCTTCAAAATCAATTCCTCTAGTTGAGGCTTCGGCCTAAGATAACCAGACAGATGCTTCAAGTCATCCTTGGATGCATCAACACATGTTTGGCAGTTAGGCCAACTGGCCAATACCAACAATACCAAGTTCAATCCATTTCAATGCAGAATGAGCTAAATGGTCAAGGTTTAATAGAAATAATATGATAGAATCTTCAGGTCGTTGACAAGATTGCATTATTTGTAATATGTACTCCAAGGAGACATTATCTCAAATGCTAGCTAAAGAAGAAACCAAACTCCCCGCTAGGCTGAAAATTAGCAAAACCATTGAGACCTAATGAATGATTCAGAAGGTTCTCTACTCCTTTCTAACATTTCTAACAAATAAAGACAAAAAAAAGGTTACAAGGCAAACGAATATTCAAAAATTAGAAAGTTGCTTACAGTTATAGGCAATCTGGCTTCTATAGCTCGAGCATGGTAAACAAAACACTCAGTTGGTGGACCACTGAAACAGAATGACAGACAAGTCAATTCCTTGAATAACAGTTCCCCTCCTAAAAGTCTTGTCAGCACCAAGGAAATATGCAGGTGGGCCAGCTATTCCTTGAGTGCTCACAAACAAAAAACAACCACTTAAATCTGATTCATCTGAAATTATGTATACAATTTAAGATTCAATTCCAAATAATAGTCACACAAACATTAAAATTTACTATTCTCCACAAAAGTATTATGCGGAAGTTTCTATCATGGGCACTGCAGATTAATAAGATAATAAAGTGAAAAGAAGCTTGCCCGATTTCAAGCTATTCCAAGCCACATTAAAATTGAATTACTACAAAAGAAACAGTAACTAGATAACCATAACATATTGACGGACTAATGCATACAGATAACCATATACCCTTTATTTGGATTAGAACATATACATATCCAGTTTTACAAAGAAATACTTCCAAACAAATCAATTCTAAGTTTCAAAAATTAAAAAAGAAGTCTTATAAAAGAACACGACCACCTATTTTCCTTTCGAGAAAACAAATAAAATTTAAAAATGAGTTCATTTACAGCCTCATGTCACCTAAAAACCAACCCCCACTTTCACTGAACTAGTCACATAGCAATAATCCTTTAAAAAATTTTCTTCCTTTTTGCTATATTTAGATATTCTTGGTATAAGTGTAACAGTTCATGGAAATTTAGGCCTGAGACTCAGCAACAGAATATGGTATGAAGGTGTATTCACAGGACAATAAATGCTATGATGGGTAGCGGGTTAGTTAGTTAACAGTAGTAAGTGATGAGTTATGCTTAAAGAGCCCAAGTTGTACAGAATAGGATGAGGCAGGAATAACAGTTTGGTAACTGAGATTTCTCAGTTGTAAGGGCATTACCCTTGTAAGGGAGATATTCTCCTAGTACACTCTCTCTCTCCACAATAGAATAACAAAATTTCTTCCATGTCTCCCTACCATTCTTCCTGCAATTCTAGTCTATTTTTATATGGGTCCCTATCATGGACAAAATTCAACAAAGTATAACTTAAAAGCTGAATTTGGTATGTGGCTATTTCTATTGAGTAGAGATAGAAATCAAGTATTAAGAACTTACTCATTTCTTGAAGCTTTTGTATCACGGGCAAACATCTTGTAGGATAGCAATTTTCCTTCTAATTTTCGCAAAAGCTGGTTTACCTTGCTTACACTGAACACATATGATTTCTTTTCATTTTCTAGCTCATCCTTGGTGGCAGCATCACGAATTTCATTATATCTAAAACTGTCACAAAACTCCCCATTGCCACTGCTTTGGTCCCTATACCCTTCATCAGTGAGTGGGAAGATATAAAGGTAACGCCTCCATTTGGCAGAGAAATTAGGATGAAATACACGTGATACCTACAATAAGTCACATTTATTACCATTATTAGATTTAACTGTTCTGTGAATAACAAAGAACTCAACCTGCCATATTTCTTTTTTTTTTTTTTGGGGGGGGGGGGGGATTGATAATTCTATCAACATTAGCTTCACATTGCAGATTACTTAAAAAGGGAATATTACCTCAGAAACTGATATAACCCTTAATTTTCCTGGTGCTGCATGATTGATTGCACCCTCAATATCACTTGGTTTAACATCCTTCTTCCAAGTGTCTGTAGATAATGAACCCTAGATCAGGAAGGGAAAGGCTTAAACAGATCCAATGAATGCTTTAAATGAAGAACACCTTTGCGCACCTCAAAAACAAAGGCTAATTATGTAACTTGTGAACATTCACTTTCCTTTCAAGGCATACCAACAATTTACTACAATAAAAAAATATAGCCATACATAATTGGAGCTATTTCCTACAGGATTACAACTTGTGTTCATATAAGAATGCTTTACGGCCCTTGGTTCCATATATAAGAACATTGGAACCTTCTACTCAGGAATTGAAGAACGGATTTCTTTCAAAACCTGATAACTGGCTTTAGTTAATATTTTGAAAGTTGAAATTTACTTCTATCAAGAGTTCTTATAGTCCTTGTCTAACTTATGACTTTATACTAGTGATAACTTTTTTCTTATTTTTTAGGTTTTGATAAATTCTGATGCACGTGGAATTGCCTCTATAAATTTGTTATTCATCAATAGAACCAAATTAATAAATCTCAAGTAACCTATAAGAAACTATCATTTCACAGACCGCAGACTTAAAAGGATAACATCAAGCCAAAAAGCATTCTCTCACTTAACAATAATTTAAATCTTCCGAAAAAACAAGAATTAAAAGATTATTTTTAGTTTCATTTATGATTTGTTTTGCATCTAAAAAAAAAGTAACTTAACTATCCTAGGTTCCCACAGCCCTTATCACTAAGCCCAGTTATGAGGAAACGAGGAACCCAATCAAATCCTGCTAGAGCAAGGCAGAAAATCCCCAATCTGATTGGAATTAAAAGAACAATATCACACTACGTAGGCATTTTGCTGATCCCAGATATCCAAGATACTTGTGTATGGATATGAGAAGACCATAGGCATTTCAGATGCTCTTTATTCAGCTAAGATACATATTATGTACGGGCATGTGAATGTGATGCCCTTTCAAATTCATGGGATCCATGGATGCTCGAGCATGAGCCTTGATCATTTTTTATAAATTAGCAATTTTACCCTCACTAATTTCCTTTCCTTCTTAATAAATATTAATTCATCCATAACAGATTTACCCTCACATTAAGTTAAAAATTACAAAATATAATTGTTATATATAATAACAAGAAAAGTTTTATTATCCAAAAAACCATACAATGTTTGGTTATTATGATATTTAAAATTCATAAATTTTATGGTGCAATAAATTATGATATAAATATAATTGTTTACTAGTTTTGTATACAAAATAGGAAAAGATATTTTTAAAAGTTCAAAGTTAGATGTCTATTATTGCCAAGTGCAACCAAACAAAGACATCTACTTGTTTAGGCATCTAAGCTACCATACCAAATGAAGTCAGACATCAGCACATTTTAAGTCAGAATTTTCCAAATGGCAATCAAAAGATTTACTGTTGATTGTATAATTATAAGCACATGAACATAATTTTTCGAAAAATGTTAAGCAATCTTTGTCGCAGAAACTACAATTATAAGAGAGACTTTGGGGCCCCAGTTTTGTCTTCTTGCACGTTGCAATCAGAGTGTATGACAATTCATTTATAGAAAGGCTTGGACATAGCAAAAGCATTGCTAAGAACAGGGAAATGTCTTACAGAAAGAACAGACTTGTTGAAGGGCTGTCACTCCTTTGTCTGTACGACCAGCAACAAGAGCACAACCTTCGATGGGCAAACCTTTATCCTTGAGTAGTTGAGTTTTATTTTCATCAACAAATTTACCAAGTGACCCTTCTACTATGCTACATCAAGAAATGAGTACAAGAGCAAGAAGCATACTTATCATCAATAAAAAGATAATTCATTTTAACATACTTATTTTTGTTTACCGTATATGTTAATATTGTAACAAAAATAAAAGACAAACACTCCAGCACGGGGGACATGAAGCAGCAAAGGGAGAGACAAGGGAAACAGTTGTACAATGTTCTATTCTATAACAGTTTTGTCAAATATATGTAGGGTTTTATAATTCTCATTCAACATGAGAATTCAAATTTTCCTACACACCCTTCGATTTCTGTGCTGACATGGGTCCTACATATAATTTTTTCTAACACATGGGTCCCACATGCTTTTTATTTCTACAACATGAGAATTGAATTCTCATTCAACATAAGAAAATCAAACCCCATATATGTATATGCAATTTAAAGGAAAACTAGTAGGCCATGGATCTTTAAAATAAACCATACCAAAGTACAAAAAAGAGAAAGCTAATTTGTAAAAGGCATGTGATGTGACCAAAACCACAATTTGCTCGTTTTTTAATTGTACAACAAATAAAAAACACCTCATCCAACTATTGTTAAAGGTCCTAGACATATAACTGTTGCTTCCTAAGTATGTAATTTGCAGTCTGCACAAGACTGCAGAATTCATAAGAAGAACAACTTGCCTTTGGACAGTATTCAAGCCTGGCTGCTTTTGCCACCCATCAAAAGAACTCCCGTGATACGAAATAACTATTTTGAATGTTGATCTTGCCCACCTCCCACAGCGATGTTCAGAAGCAACACTTACCAACTCAGTGTTATCAGAAAGTGCTGGAATTCCAGTATCATTATGATCAAGAAGTGTCTGTTAGAAAGCCATGAATTAAGAACTATAAACACACAAAATATTTGAAGATACTCGCTCATACACCTAATCATGCATAATTTTCAAGTACTTAGTGATAGCATACATAGAGTATCATGATCTTCAAAGGATACCAATGCCGACAATGCAAGAAGTTATTAAGCATTGAGGTATTTATTTGTCACAAATCTTATGACTAATTTCGAAAATCAGCCTTTGGAAAGCAAAAGGAATAACAAATTAAAGCCAAAGGCAGCAATTTAAGAGACTCAAAGATTGCATGGCATTGCACCCACTGAAATCAGAAATTAGGGGTCAAATTGAAATATTAAAAGTAGAAAGAATTAGGGTTGGGTTAACTCCCAAAAAAAAAAAAGTAGAAAGAATTACAAACATAATAAGATGATGGTGCACCTCAGCTCCAAACAGAAGAGGCAAAGACAATTTCCCATGGACAATATTCAAATAAAAATCATTGACTCGTTGCCAAGGCCTTGCATACATAAATTGGAAGCTCTCCCTGTCAAACCCAAACATCACCAATTAACATTAAAATTAAGCACAACACCTGTTTGTAGAAAGTTCCCATAAATGTCAAATATCAAATCCAAATAAACACGATACCTTGTAGTCCATCTTACGTATTCGCAGGGATCAGTATGGTTGTAATGCACATAACTTTTACTTTCCATTTCGCCGTGTTTATCCATTGAATAAAAGAGTAACTGTAAGTGATGTTGATGGAGGTTGTTTGAAATCGCCGAAAGGAGAGGGTGTCTGTGGAAACCAATGAATATGCGTGTACCAATACTCATTCAGAGTAAGCACTATGCATAGGTTGAAATGAGGGCAGGATGCCTACGTTTCTGTATCAGCAACTGCAAACCAATTAATTTACTACTATGTATCACATTCGCTATATCTTAGGGATAAACAACCCCCGGGATTTATTTTAGGGCGGGAGAAAAAAAAAATTACAATTATTAGGAATATTGTGAGAAAATAAGTTTAATAGAAAAGTAAAAAAAAAAAAGGTTGTTTGATAAGCTAAAATATTAGTAGGAAAAAGGTTAAATTTTCTGGAGTTTATATTTGGTCGAAGGTAAAATATTAATGGAAAAATGAGATAAAATTACCAAATTAACCCTGGACTAAATACAAAAAGACACTCTCTCTTCAGCTTTCTTTTGACATGTTTTTTGATAAGAGATATTTGTGACCATTGCTTTTTTTTCTACTTTTTGGTGTGATGGGATAATGTAAAATGGTAAAAAAATTAATTTTACACACAAATTGAGATTGCTATACAAATTCGAATGATGGACAAATTTTTTAAAACCTCCTACCAAATATGGTCAACTAAAAAATTCATCTCATCTTTTCCGGTCATCTTAAAAAACCTCATATCAAACACCCCTTTAAAAATATGCTTGTCTTTATATATATATATGGTTCATTTTTTCTGCAGTAAGCTAATACGACATCGTTTTGAGGCGAAAATCATGGTGTTTTTGTAATTTTAATTTATTTCAGGGTTATAATAGTTTTTATATTCATAATTTTTTAAGATTTCAATACCAAAACGACGTCGTTTTGAGAATAAATGCGGATAACTTATCTGCATTAACTGCAGAAACATTTTTCCCATATATATATATATATATATATATATATATAGGGTTTATTTTTTCTGCAGATATGTTATTTGCAATAAACTCAATACGACGTCGTTTTATAGCAGAAATCATGATATTTTTGTAATTTTAATTTATTTCAGGGTTATTATAGTTTTTATAATTATATTTTTAATATTTCAATCCCAAAATAACGTCGTTTTGAGAGTAAATGCAGATAACTTATCTGCAGTAACTACAAAAATATTTTTCTGATATATATATATATATATATATATATTAAGAATTGAATTCACAATCTATTATATAACTATCCATATTTTTCTCGAATTGTATGGTCTTGAAATATGGGTGTCCGACCCTTAGGAACTAACTGGAAGGGTACATTCCGTAAATCCCGCATAGAGTGTGGAGGGTTTTGATCCCTTAATTTCGGGGGAATAATCTCTCGTCATATTGCAGCAGGGACATTGAGTATATTAGCGAGCCCGAGTTCAACGAGGTAAATGTATTAAAAGGGGAGAACTCATTTTGGAAAAAAAACGTATTAGTAGTTTATATGCCATGGGAGGGATACAATTGTGATAATTAATCCTAGTGGCTTAATATCACTGTGTTTCTATCATGATTTTTCTTATGTTAATTTTATAAAGCATAAGAATGTGACATTTTAGTAATTAATAATTTTCAGAGATATTTTTTAGTATCAGCCTCAAACATCTTATCAACTAGACTCATTATAGTAGTTTGTATATTCTTAAAATGAGACGAATAATTTCTCCCTCTATTAGATTTTCATTTGCTATACACACTTTCCCTCACATACACACCTCACTAAGGTTATTGAATCGCAATATATTTCATGTATCGTTTAACCTATTTTTTATATCATGCATTCTGAATTGTATCAAAACAAAAAATACATAAACATAATAAAAAATAATTTAAAAATATATATTCCATATTGATTTTTGAGTTTAAATCACAATCAAATCTTTATTTTATTTTCTCTAATAATAATTTGTTAGATTTTTTAATTTAAATCGTAAATCAAATCTTTATTTTTGTTTTCAAATTAAAAATTTTGATTTAATTTTTGTATCATGTGATACAATATGTATCGTATCGTACGATACAAATCCCTTTCTGATACATCCCATGATATGTATTGCTATACTTGTGAATTATATCATATTATATATCATACAATACTGATAACTATGCACCTTACACACATTTAAGGGCAAGTTGTCGCACTGGTAGTGAGTTACATAAAAGCAAAATGATTAACGCTAGTTTGGTCGACATGATAAGATAGAAATAAATCGGATAAAAGGATTCAATAAGAATAAGATAAACTAGGGGCATGATAAGCTCATCATATCTTCTCTCGTGTTTGATGTGCACCATATAATGTTTGATAAGCAATCTAATAGGATAATTCTATCATATCTGATGTTTGAGACGAATCATATAATATCATTATATCATATAAATAGATAAAAATACTTTTTCAACAGTATTTCATATGATTTTTTAAAATTAATTTTCAAACTTTTTTTTTACTTATTCCCACATTGACTCTTATTTTAAATTATCAAAAAAATTTAAAAGTCACGGTTTTAATAAAATACATTAAAATGCATAAATAACTTACAAGAATTTATAAAATAAAAAAATCATATCCTCGCTAAATAAATTTTAAAAAATTAAATTTTAAATTGGTGGTATAGTGGGTGGGTGCTCGATTGAATTGGTGGTGGTAACGAGAGTTGTTGATAACGCCAACAATAATCGGTGACAATCATGGTGGTTGATGGCAATGGCTAGTGATGGTAATGACCCGAGGTGGTAGTGGGGGCAGTGGTCAGTGGCAACAATGACAGTGATGGTGGTGGTTGGTGCGATAGTCGTACATAAGGTGGTTGGTGGAAGTGATGGTCGTGGCAGGGCTGATGCTGACTAGTGGCAATTATGGTGGCAAACTGATGATAATGATAGTGGTGGTGGTGGTAGTGGTGAGTGTTGGTGCCTAGTGTTTAAGGGTGGTGATGGTTGGTGTAGCGGTGGCAAGTTGGTGGCAGCAACATTTACAGTGACTAGTAGCAATTATTGGGACTGATCTGTAGTGGGGGTGGTTGTAGCAGGTGACAATAGTGGTGACTAGCAGATGGATAGTGGCGTTGATAACGGGTCGTAAAGGTGATCGATGGTGTGGTGGCTGGTCGGTGGCAACGTGTGATCCTCACATATCAAGCAATGTTAGTAGGAAAAGAGCACATGACAATATTTGGGATGAAATTGACGTGACATTTGTTATCTTATCATGTCCATTCTTAACTTAAGTCTCCTCTTAGGGTAATTTATCCACCTACAAACAGGATAAAATAAGGCAAAAAAATAAGCTTATCATATGTTATTGATTTACGAAATAATGGATAAAAATAAAATATGATAACCTATATTTATCCCGACCATCAAATGAGTTATTAGTGTTTGTTCGTAATGCCCATTTAGATTGTAACACCACCTTGTAAGAACAACTTTATTTACTTATTCCAAAGATAAATTTATTTTAAAGAAACCTTAGATAATTAAAAAAAATTTATTTTTTACTCTAAAGATAATTAATTATAGACATAAGACGTATATTTAAAAAATTATTATATTTCAAAATGATTTTAATTTATCTTCCAACCAATTCTATTTAGTGTATTTTTGAAATATAATTTGAAAATGCATATTGTACTTTTCAATACGAGTTATTATAAAATTATTTTTGCTATTTTTTTTTTTAAAATTCATTTTACTAAATTTTAAGCTGAACAATCACATAGTATAAAGTGTAGAGAATGACATGATGCAGATTTACGAATGTGAAGTGAAGGTTTAATCAAGGTTAAAGAAGGGCCGTTGCAATTTACTCTTTTTTTTTTTTTTTTTTTCCAGAAAAGTATATATAAGAAATTAAAATAAATAAATAAAAATTAAAAAATGAGGATGGCAGTTTCGTATTTTTATTAAAGAGCAAGGTTGAATTGGAAAGTGCAGTGAGGTCGAACCGCCAGGGAGTAATAGTAAAATAAATTAAAGAAACCCTCAAATTTGTGGTGCGCTCTCAATCCTCTATAATTTTTCTGCCGTTGCGTTGCGTTGCGTTGAATTGAGTTGAGTAATACCATTACCAGGTCGAAGGCCAATATCCACTAAGCAGTGCATATGTTAGTTCATATTTCTTCCTCTTCCTCTAGGGTTTTTTTCGGAACCTCTCTCTCTCTCTCTCTCTCCCTCTTTAAATATTACTTGAACTGATTCGTTCATGCTGAAAAGTAGTGCATTTGTTGCATCGTTTAGAATGTATGTCTGCTTTTTTATTTTTTAATTTATTCGTAATTGATGTTATGTAGAGTGATGAGTTCGTCTTCAACCGACGCTTTTCCAGCAATTCAGGTAATAATGCCTTTTGTATTTCACTTTCTTTGTCGTTTTCGTTTTCCTTTTTTCTTTTCTGGAAAACAAATTCAAAGAATATCTAAATTCTCTCTATGTTGAGCCAAACACAAGTCTGTTACAATATATATATATATATATATATATATATATATATATATATATATATATATATATATTGTGAGAAAGCTTATAGTAGTGCTGTGCTACTGCTAGAAAGTTTATTGCACGAAGAATACACAATGCCTATAGATGCTAATGTGTGCATGTTATTGCTGCAATGTGTGGTTTACCGTTGTGATCTGAAGTTAATGGTTAAACTCTCTGTGATGAAGTCAGAGAGATCTGGGATGGAAGTGTTTGTGTATCTGTATTGTGTTTTTCAATCTTTGTTTTCAATTTAATGATCACTTTGTTTTTTTTTCTTTTTTGTTGGATAAAATATATTGGCAGGAAATTATGCTGGAGTTCCGTGCTGGTAAAATGTTTCTCGAGGGGAAAAGGGTTGTTCCTGACTCACGAAAAGGACTTGTTAGAATTGCTAGGGTATGGTTTGCTTGAATATCATTTCCTCGCTTTAAATACCCTTTTCAATCTGCATGTTTGAACACTATTTGTTGAAAAGTATGTGAATAGTTTGTAGATTCATTGTATAAGCTTAACCATAATCATGTAATTACGGTAATTAGGAATCTAGGATATCCAAAATCTTTAATATTATTATTTTTCTTCTATATAATTTACTCTCCATTGTGTAGTTCATCACACGGTTTCCTCACATGTCCCGTGGTTTTTTTTGCTTAAAATGGTATTTTGAGCCTAACAAGAGGCCACCGTCGTCCATGCTGGTGACTCTTGGATCTGGACCGTCTCCTCTAGCTTAGGATATCCCTGATTGTTTCGCACCTGATTCTTTTCGCTAGTTTATCAAATGCAGATTGTGGCATGTCACGGCCAATCCCAAGAAACGCTATAACGCTATAGCGGGCTGCGGTTGTGAAAATAGCGAAATAGATATATAACAGAAATAATGACAAAAAGAAATATTTTTTAAAGGCAGAGATAGCAGAAGTGACAGAGAGAGATGCAGATAGACTAAACAAACCCTTAAAATTTTTTTGTTACACATTTAAATTTAGGATAAAATTGACATTTTGCCTTATGACAGCAATATGGCTGTGATTTGGCCACAAATGCGATCACAATGGCCGCTATAGCGTTCTGGTCCGACGCGGTGTGGTTTCTTGCGGCGAGGCAGCGCAACGCCCTTACGGCGCGGCTCGCGGCGCTATTGCGGCGCAATTAACTACTATGCTTTTGCTAAAGATTTTTTTTTCCATAGGACCAGAGGTTGGGACTAGTGATTGGTGCCAAATACAAGTCCAATGGCCTTATCACCTCTTCAACTCTTCTCGTGTTTCACTGTTAAGGATCCTCCTATCTTCATCCATGCTCAATTATGTCACTTGAGCCTTTGCAAACTGCAAAAATTAGCACTTACCTGTCCAAGTTATCTAGCTTGTCTTGTCAATTGTGTCAACTTGAGAAACATACCTTTAGTCTGTTACCAATTGCATCTGTAGTTGAGCTAAGTCTCCTTTTACTTTAGTTCATTCTGTTGCTTGGGGTCTTAGTTGTACCGTGTCCACTTTGGAATCCAGATATTTGGTCACTTTTATTGGTCACTTACATTGTATTTGGTTATTCTTAATGGAAAAATTATCGAAGTTATTTTCTATCTTTCAACCGTTGTATAAAAGTATAAACACATTTAAGTGTCCCTATTCGTACTTTTAGCAGTGATAGTGCCTATGAATACTTATCTTAGCCATTTCAAACGTTTATACAGACTATAGGGTTGCTGTATGCAAAAATTGGCATCTTATGTTGTATAATGAAGTATAAACACATTTAAGTGTCCCTATTCGTACTTTTAGCAGTGATAGTGCCTATGAATACTTTTCTTAGCCATTTCAAACGTTTATTCAGACTATAGGGTTGCTGTATGCAAAAATTGGCATCTTATCAAAACCACTTGGATGCTCTTACTTTATGGAAATGCACCTTTCTGTCTTTGGGGTGATGTTGTTCTTATTGTTTGCTATCTCATTAATCAGATGTCCTCCTTTGTGCTTGATAACCAATACTTATTTTGTTTTTGTTTTCCCATCAATCATTGCATTGCATTCATTGGCACCCAGTGTCTTTGGGTCAGTTTTCTTAGTTACACTCAGTCCGATATCTGCTCTTGGCTGATGTTATTTTCTTTGAGTTTGTTCCCTTCTTTGGGCATCCATTCTCCACTCCTGTCTCTACAGTCTTACCTCTTCCTCTTTTTTCAATCTCTATTTTGTTCACCCCACCAGAGATGTCTCATGTTTAGGAATGCACCCATCTCTGTCCATCCCTTGCAAGTATATCTGCTTGCACCATAGACTATTCCTCCTCCTGTCGCTGATGATGCCATTGTGGATTCTCCTTCGACGCCAGCTCCTCAACCTGCTCCAGCCTTATCTCCTAAGCTTAACCTTCACATTACTAACTAAAAAGGAATAGGGTCTACTCGTAACCCTTTTCCTCACTCATCTAGACATTTTCTTTTGTAGTTAGTGTGGTTAGTCAATTCCGAAATTCACCTTATGAAGGACATTGGAGTGTATTAACCCACCTCTAAAACTACATTAAAGGTGCTCTAAGAAAAGAACTTATCTATGAAGATAAAGATCAAGTATTGAAGCAGTGAATTAAGCCATGACATCAACTACTTGTGAACTCATTTGGCACAAACAATTACTTCAAAAACTTAGATGGGGAGGTTATGCAGATGACACTTATTGGCGATATTCAAGTTGCATTGCATATTGCTACAAATCTAGTGTGCCCTGAGAGGAACAAACATTGAGATAGATTTTCATTTATTTCGCCACTTATTTCGTCAATTTCAAATCACCAGCTGACGAATGTTTCCACTAAGTCCTTGAGAAGTCCTTGACTATGTCATATATGTAATGTAACAAAATGACCTGTATACTCTAGTTTGAGGGAGTGTTTGAAATTATGTAAATAGCGTCTAACATATATTCTACAGGCTAATCATAATCATGTAATTATGGTAATTAGGATATCTGTGATCCTTGTATTTCTTTTTTTTATCTATATAATTAAATCTCCATTGTGTAATTTGAAACCTGGATTCCTCATATATCTCTCATTTTCTCTTCCCTTGGCACTATTCTTCATTATTTCCTCGTGTTTAAACCGATGGCTGCTATTAGTTTTTTTTTAAAGTGATTGCTTTTGTCTCAGGGTGAGGAGGGATTAATCCATTTTCAGTGGCTTGATCGCTCACAAAACGTTGTTGAAGATGTATCCTTTGTTCTCCCTTCCCAATTTTGTGTACTTGGTTATCATTTAAGTGATGCACAATTATGTTCCTTTTTCGTGTAAGTATTTTGTGGTCTCTAGTTTCTTTCTTTTTTTTTTTTTTTTTTTTTTGGTAAACTCTTTATTTTGTTTTTATTATTTTCTTTTAAGTGGATATTTTTCAGTTTTCTTGTGAGGCTGATGATGCAAATATTCTCTTACAAAATAGATGAGATAAAATTCAGGCGTTGAAGTTCTGACAAAATTAACTTAAAGCTAAGGGGGCACATTGACACATTTTGAACAACAGGTTAACAATTTGAAAATAAGTCAAACCATAAGGGTGTTTGATTTTTATTTTTTATTTTTTTGCCTTAAATTTGAATAGCGTTATTAGTTATAAATTTATAGGGGTAAAATAGAACCTTTAGTGATTATTTGCCTTGGAAGTCTAGATATATCCTTATTTACTGCTACTTTTTAAAAATGGGTATTTGCCAGTTTCCTTATTATGAAGATAATATGTTCTAGAAAATGGGCACTCCTTTTTTCTTTTTTGCTACAGCACTCCTGCATATACCTATACCTCATTTAGGATGTGGAAGAAAAAGAAAGGATATTTTGTATGAATTTATGATTATGATGCCTTCGCATCGATTTTTATTGCCATGGCTTGTGCAAATTGTTAGGTAAGGTTGCTCTCTACTGGTTATAATAATAAAAAAAATGCTTAATAAATGGAAGATATTGCTGTTAGAAGCAAATTGGTGTTCGGAAATTTTTATTGGAAGTTTAGAAACTGACTAAAATTATTGAAGATGAGGAATATGATGCCTAGAGAGAATGAAAAGATGTAAAAGAGGAGCAAACAGTGTACAATAGTTCAGACAAAAGGCATATAAGCTAAGTAAACCTTTGTAGAATATGTCCGAATAGATTGAAACCATTGGTTTTCTTCCATCTTGCCACCATGAGCTCTGTTGTTCCTCAGTGTTGTCCTTATCAGAGATGTCTGCATGGTGGCATAAAATGTCTGGACAATGAAGGGATAATGATTTCTAGTATCATGAACATGTGGAACTTCATATATTTTGTTACTTATTGCAATATTTTTTTATAATTATTTTTGTCATGGAAGTGAAATAGTTTGGGGAGCTTTTAATTGCTTGTCAAAACGTCTGCATAAGCATCATTTCACATGAATGCAAGGATGATATTTTGGACTTCAGAAGTTAAATCTCTGTAATATTGATCTAACCTTGTATGTGATATTCTTTCCACCTGTGCTTGTATTTCAGTTGTGGGTTGTGTGTAGTTTTAAATTTCACTTTGTTGAAACAGAGATGGGGTGAAGTGTAGAGAATGAGCTGAGGACTTTTGGACATCATTCACTTATTTTGTTCTTAATTTGATAACTTAAGGTCTCTTTCATCCAGGTCTAGGAACCTATCTAATGTGTCCTGTTCCATGTGATTTCATTTCTTTTACATCATTAAACTACAATTTGATCATCTCTTCTCTTTCCTGACCATTATTCTGTTGATTATCATTCTTTTTATATTGTTTTATTATGATATTGAAACATTATGTTGCTTCTTGCTGGATTTATCTTGATTTTTCTTGACCTAAGATTACACAGGATCAGATAATATTTCCCAATGAGGCTGTTTTTGAGAAGGTTCTGCTTCTTTGCTGTCAACAGTTTGGTTATACTATTCATTTGATGGTTCTGATGGCCTTAATTCTTGGTTGCTTAGGTTAATCAAACATCTGGAAGGGTTTACATATTGAAGTTTAATAGTGATGACCGGAAGTTTTTCTTCTGGATGCAGGTTGGTCTTTTTATGAATATCCTCTTGTCTCTCTAAGTATGTTGCCTGTATGATTAGGTTTTACAGTTTTATGCGATCCTTCATTGTGTCTAGGAATCAAATGCTGACAGCGACTCACAACTGTGTAGCTCAGTGAATGATTACATAAACAGACCATTAGGTAAGTAACTTCTCTTTGCTTTGAATTAGAAAATACTGAGCAGACATTCTTTTCTGTCTTAACATTGTTGTGAAATATTTTTTTTTAATATAAATAAAAGCAAAGAAGCCATGACATTTTTCCATATTGTTTTTGAAGCAAAGCGTAATTTTAAAAAAATATTAAAGTTTGTTTTCATCTTGTTTTTTTAAATTTTTTTGGGTACATTGATTATAGAATTTTGGTGCAGAGAAATTAAACAGATTAGAAACCACTTCTTTTCAAGAAGTATGCGTATACTTTTGTAATACAATTCCGCTATGGACAGAATACATAAAACCATTGAACACGTGTTTCTAATGGCTCTTAATTTTCATATAAGTTGCATGGATATTGGTATGAATACCTGTATATGTATGGGTACAGCTACGGGATATGACAAAATTTCTGAAAGCTTGGGTAACTGCAGAATATATTGTATAAAAATATAAAAACATCAAGGAATTAAATCATAAGATAAATACAATTTTCATAATGTTTTAACTCAACTAAGCAAAAATATTTTAAGAAGTTAGACAAGTTTTGAAGAGAGAGTAGCTGTTTGTTTCATTTAGTAGCAAACCAATCAGCTTAGTAACAAAACTTGGTGTTTTGCATGGACTGATTCGTACTTGAATGATTAGTGATTATTGGGTACATACCCATGTACCCAATAGGTACCGGTTCTAGATATATACCTGGTGTGGGTCGGCGACCATTTAGGAGTATCTGTGCATCATAGTTTTTCTTTGACACTTAAGGACGTAATTAACAGTCCGCATAATCTTTGCTAATCTTAGACTGATTTTTTTTTTCAGTGTTTGTATTATATTTTTATGGGAACATAAATACAAAAGCACTTTATCATTGTTTTTTTTTTATTGGTTGTTTGATCCTTTTGATTATGGTGGCCCATATTTTCTCTTGTTATGGAGTAATATTATTACAAGATTTAGTAGTCTGAGTTGACTGCATATTATATTACTCATACGTAGTTTGGTGAATCTTAAATTTCATTGAACAACTCCCTAATAGGTGAACCCAAGTACTGTAATTATATTCATTGAGGCGTTCTCTTATCAATCAAACACAACAGAATTTTTTTTTATGTGTGCAACTTTTTATTTGTTGTTTTACTCCTGGAGATTATGAATAGGTTCGACAACTAATTCAAATTGACATGGGCAAATAGCCAAATATATAATATGCGTGAAACTTCTATCTCTAGAAATAAAAGGAACTATTTACTGATTAACAGAGTTACTTGGCGAAGAAGAGCCTGATGGTTCCCTTCCGCTTCAAGTTTCTGAAGATACAGCTGAGGATGACATCTCATCTAGGTACTGACATAATTTGGATACTCAAATGTTTGTAGATGCTAAGACTTAAAAAATGAATATGATTATTGCTTCTTGGTATGGTTTCCTATTGTAACTGATGGAAGTAATTTGCACTTATTGCCATAAATACTATCTCATACTAGATGAAATTCTGGTAAAGTTAAAACCAAATTGGAAAATATTGCATGCTCATGCATTTTGTGTGTTTAATCTTCATATCTTCTCACTTTTTACTGTCTATTTTCTATACTTTCCATTTTGACCTGTTTGCTAAATATCTCCATTCTGCTAGAGATGGTGCACTGGCCTAATCAATATGGGTGGTTCCTCTATGCCAGCAGAAATCATTAGATATCCTCTTCCTTTTAGAGGGATTTATATACTTTTTGTGCTAGACAGATTGGCTCAACTCAGAATCATTAGGGCATGGTTAGGAATCTTGTAGCTTTGCCTTTTGTGGGCTCAATTTGTCAGTTGAAATCAGAATCATATCATTATTCTGGATCTTAGAGCCAACCTCAGGTAGATTTGATGTGGATAAAATATATGCTGCTTTTATAGCAAATATTTCTTTAATGAAGAGAAAGGAAGTAAAGGGCCTGAATGTCCCGTTTTGCCAAACTGTTTTTTACCAATTGTATCTATCATCTTGGCCAGCCAGTGTGTTAAGTGCCAACCAAATGAGACATGGCTTCGTTATTCATCTCTCACCTCTAAATATCTTTTTTCCCCTCTAAATATGAAGCTGTGATATTTAAGGTTGTAGTGAATTGTGACCATTCTTCCTCCAAAGAATGTTGTCCCAGTAATTTTTATTTATTTTTCTTTTAAATCGTTTATATCTGAATACTAGATAAAATTGAACAAAAATGCAGCCATAGTTGTGAAGTGATTATGCAATTTAGTTACCATAGGGTATCCAATCCTTGTTATTGCCTACTCTTATTATATAGCCAACTGGACACTAAATGTGTTGGATTTTATTGTTTTCAAAAAGAGCTGGAAACTTAGTTGTCCCAAACTTGGGTGTGGAAGCAACTAGTGATGTAACCTCTTCTGGTCCGGTTAAATTGGAAGATCTTCGGAGAATATTGAGTAACATTGGGCCTGCAGGTATTAAGTTTGATTAAAAGAGATTTTTTTAATTTATTTTTAACTGTTTCAAAACCTAACCTGTTATTTTTCTGATGAGATGTTTGCAGATAGTATTGTTGATCCCGATGGAGGTAATCTTTGATATTATATTCCATTCCTGGCTATCTATTAAGATTAAAGACAATAATAAAGATGTGTTTAGATAATATTGCATGGTATTACATTCAAAGTTCAAACTAGAAGACTGTACAGCTTGTACTGAAGTATATTTTTCACAATGACAATGAGAGGGAAATATATATAAAGTAAAGCGATACAAGATTTTATTTGCTCAGTTATTAGCATCGAAGTTTGGTTTTACCACTGGAGTGGTTGGAAATTGGTTTTTTTGTTTGTTTTTTTTTTTGTTTTTTTGGTGTTGGGGGGTGTTGTCCAATGCATGTGCATAGTTATGATATGATATCCAAAGCTTCTTGTTTCTTGCTAGTTATTGTTACTTGTGTCGTGCATTTTGATTTGGAACTTGTGATTGTCAAAGTACCCTCGGAAAACTTTAACTGTGAACATACTCTTCAAAACTGTATTTCATAATGAGGTGGATTAGTAGAGTCAGGTTTTTTACATCATTCTTTTTTGGGTAAAATGCTCTTCATAAAATATAACTCTACTCTGACAGTTTTCTGCATTTAACTAGGCTTGGGACTTGGTGATATATTAAAGCCTGATCTAATAATGCCATTGATGGAGACATTACCTCTGGAGCAGCGTTTGGCCCCCTACTTACCCGAGGTATATATCAATGTGGTGAATGAGTTTTAGTATTCCTTTATTTAAAGATTCATGTAACATTCTTTGATGTAGGGTAAGTGGTCTCCAGAAGATATATTGGAGTTGTTGCAGAGCCCACCTTTCCGTCAGCAAGTAGATTCATTTACTTACGTGAGAATGCTGTGCCTCACTTTTCTTGGTATACATTTTATTTCAAATATACTTAACAAATGTGTTGTTTATTTATTTGTTGCTATAGGTACTTCGAACAGGACAGATAGATTTGTCTCAGTTTGGAATTGATCCAAGTAAATGTAAGTTAGTACTTTCACAGTCTTTAGCCTGGCCGAAGTATTATTGAGTTTTATACATCGTTTTTAATGCCCGCAGTAGTTGTTGTTTCTTCTCCAATCTACCTCGTTGTAGGATCTGTAAATTGGATATTGACGGACTTGTCCTTTTTCCCCCTTTTATTCCCATTTTTTATTTGGTATGTAAGGGTTTCAGTATCACAAATTTTCCAGTACGGTGCGGTAAGTGGCAGATATATAAAAGGGCAGAGGAAACTGTCATTGACCACGATACATAGATCGTCTTGCAGCATTTCTTTCTGTCTGCTTTGTCTTTTAGGGTTCAGACGTGTGTAGCATGGCTGTCGTACATGAAATTGGTATTTCATGTGTTTTTGTAAAGGACACGAAGTGAGAAAAAAAGGGTTTAGGAACTATTAGAAAAAAGAGGGCGAGTTTGAAATAATGATAAAACAATTTTATTTTTTTTATTGAAGGACACCGGCTGGAAACAGTCAATTTCTAAATATGCAATATTAATTCGCTAATTGGGTTTTAATAGGGAGTGTTTATATATATATATATATATATATGGTTATTGACTTCTTGACTTAATATTGCTGATTCTTTTTTCTTTCATGACAGACAAGTTCACAGTTTTGTCTTTTCTTGAGGCTCTTGAGGATTCTGTTTCCAATTCGTTAGAGTCTGAGGAGGCCAGGCAAGATGATCCGAATTTAAGATCCCAATCATGTAACCGTCATGACCCAATGGATGAATCTCATTAGCATTGCTCTTTCTATCTTTCTTTTTTCTGTAGATGCGAGATACCTCTGTATTTTTTGCAAAATTATATTACTGATTGAAAAAGGAAAGTTGTAAAGGTGGTGAGATAAAGGTGCTAATTTACTTGAGATCTTTTTAAGGCTATATAGTGAATTAATTATTAATAAAATCCAAGACTACTGTTCTTTTCTGCTTTGAGAATGTTTTCATAATTTATAATCTGTATAGTATTCTATGGAATCTTCTGCAATTATGCCGGTCTTTTGACAACCTTTTCTGCCCTTTTCATTAGCATCATCTCTAGGGAATGAATAGCATTAGCCAGAGATATTCTAGGAGTAATGCAAATTGATTGAATTAATGGAGGCGCCCAATCCGTTGAACTGTTGAGTTTAAGCGTTGATTTTTGTTTTTGAGCATGCTTGTATATTTTGACTTCCCGACATTTGATAAATTTACTGAGTCCTTTTTGGTTTTTATTATTTTATTTTTGTTTTGAAGAAACAAAACAGGTTAGACCTAAAGAGCAAAAAGCAAACGCAACCCAAAAAAAAAAAGCCGTGCTTTTCGAAGAAAATTTACGAGAATAAATGAAGCATTAGGTTTTACAGATTTTACATAATTTGTTGCTTCAATAATGTTGTGATTATTAAGTTTTTCAGACCAATTTTATCCCTGCAATCTCAGCATGTAATGCGGATCGTTTTTGGTGACATTTTGAAAGGATCTGTTTTTAAGTAATAGATTTGAGAAGAGAATTAATCTGCCCATATTTGATTCTATAGATCAAATCTAATAATCATCACCGCTAATAACCTCTAAACTACTAACGGCGTTCTTCCTAAATATTCTCATAAAATGTAGTTGTAACGGGGTTACTGATTTGACGCACAACATACTTGCAGTGGAAAGTAAATATAAAATTAGTGTTTGAAAGAACTCTACAAAATATTCCAATTAACAGCATTCTGATGATTTAAATTGAGGAAAGAATAAAAGAGGAGAAAAGGATAAGCTACACAATTGCCTTCGCCAAGTTCCGCCAAAAGCAGACAAACATCCGGAAACACCAACCGGATCCACCAATTAACATTTTTTAGTACAAATTTCAATTCCCATCCATAATGGTGAAACTCAACTTCTAGAAGAAGCTGACTGATCTGGTGAGGGACTATATAAATAATAATCATTTGAAGGCTGGCTTCTGTTTTTTTCTCGTCTTTCTTCGCTCCTATAAACATCGTCATTTATAGTTTGGTTTTAGCCCTCAGTTGTAGTGTCATTGTTGCCCCTTGGAACCTCATAAATGGTTATGCTGCTACGGCCACTTTGAAACACTTGTTCTTCCTCATTTTCCCCCTTTGACTGAAAGTTTTCGAGAATTTCAACAACCTGACTCATGAGAGGTCTGCCTTTTGGGTTTTGGCTAAGACATTGGTATGCTAAATGGGCTACCTTTATTGCACTTTTAGTTGAATATTGCCCTTCTATTTTTGGGTCTAAAATTTTCAGTAGTTTTTTATTATGATTCAATAAAGGGCGTGCCCACTCAACTAAGTTGTGCTCTCGGCTGGGCCTGCTTTTGTCTAATGCTCTCCTACCAATAAGCAATTCAAGTAGCACCACCCCAAAACCATATACATCGCTTCGAGCTGTCAAATGCCCTGTGCATATTGACAAACAGATCAGATATCAGACGTAATTCCACACTTAACTGTGATAATGAACGCACATGTTAAAATAGTGGCTTGATCATCACTTAATGTTTAAAGGACTGTGTTACAAGTCCCACATTGGTAACAAGAAAAGACATTGTTTTCCCATACCTCAATAATGTATACTGAATGTTAGAAATAAAGTACTAAAATTTGAGGCAAGTCAAAATAATGAAAATATACCCATCATGTCTCTTGGGAGTACTTTGGTGGAAACTGGAAAGTTTACTTCTACTTTTTCTTTTCCATTGAAAAAATTATCAAGATAAGGGAAAAACAAATATAAAAGCAGAAGACATCATTAAGGATAAAAACATTAAAACCACCCCATGAAACCCTGACTTGCGAGGATAAAGGTGGGGGAAATCCCTATAAACAATTTTATCCTTATATTTTTTTGCAAAGAGGTTGTTCCCTGTCACAAGTAAAATAACATACCAATTCTAATATGTCACAGAAATCAAACCACGGACAGAAAATTAGAATATTGGAATTCTTATACTTATTTCTTCTTCCGTAGTCCTTACAATACATAGGTTAGTCAATGCAGACGTTGAAGAAATGTTGAGGATCCAATTTAATACCTCTCCAATTTCTTAATGCAATGCATGCGGGCTTTCGTTTCCAACAACAAAATCCAGAAAAAGGCTAGGACATATCTTATAACAGTTGTTTATGTCAACATACATTTCTGTAAATTGCATAAATAATAAGAGAGAGCAAATGCACCATTTTGTCACTCACGAATTCTTGATGTTTCAGAATTTTTAGAAAAATTAAGATCAGTGACAGTATAATTTAGCATAAATGGCTTCAAAAAACTCACCAGTCATGACATACTCAGGAGCAGCATATCCATATGTACCCATTACTCGTGTTGAAACATGGGTTTGATCCCCCATCGGTCCATCCTTCGCAAGGCCAAAGTCTGAAAGCTTTGCATTGAAATCCTGCATGTTTATACAAAATTCAGTTGTTTATAGTGGCATACAACTTAACATTTTAAATAATGATACCTAGTTCATCTACATTGCTCTTTTCAAACATCAACATCACCTTTATCCCAATCTAGTTAGGGTCGTGATAGATGAACCTAAATGAAAAGTACGAAAAAATCGAGAGAAAAAAAATGAATCTAGATAAAATTAAAAGAACTATAAACAACATTACAAATGAAAACATAGCAATAAACAATTCCGAAGAAGAATAAGATAGAATAAAGTGAAAATAAAGATACACAAGAGAGAAAATAAAAATAAAAATAGGTAAGTAAAAGTAAAGATACATAGGAAACAATTTCTTTTTTAAGAGATAGAGGGATAAAAATAAAGAAAATGAAGAAAATGAATTAATTAATAAGAGAAGAAAGATAGAGAGGGGAAAAAGCGAAACTATGTTCTTGGAAGACTTATGATGCAATTGAGGAGGACAGTGTTCTTTTTTTGATAAAATAATAAATTTTATCATTGAAGGAAAGTAGAGAAATATAGCAGCTGAGACTAAGGATCCTCCAAAATGAATCAAGAAAACACAAACAACACGGTATTTAGAAAAGAAGATGTCATTTTTGAGAAAGCTCAAAATCACAGCTTCTAGAAAAAGGTTAGCAACAAAGGTTAATTTTCCAGATTTTCCTTTTGTTGATACATAAACTAGAAGATAACAAACCGCATCTAGCAAGATATTTGACGTCTTGAAGTCACGATATATGATGGGCCTTTCTGCACCATGAAGAAAAGCAAGCCCTTTTGCAGCATGTAAAGCAATCTTCATTCTTTTTGACCAAGTCAATGTTGAGCCCACTCCTATTATCAATAAACAATGGGATGGTTAGGATTGTAAAGTAGAGGCAGTTTGCTTACCAATTTTTTCTTTTATTTTTCCATTACATTGATCCATGCAATTGCACTTAATGAATTGAATGGTAAGAATTAAGAAATTTATTATCAAAAAAAATATTGGGACGCTAATTACATGAATTGATGATAAGACTTTATTATTAGCAGGTTAAATTTCAAAGATGACATTTACAACCAGAACTGTTTTTCCAACATCTTGTTTCGTTATATATTTCATCAAGCTAAGGGCCATATAGATGTATGCAAAAGGTAAGTACACCAGAATCATACAGAAGATCAAGGGATAAATATAGAAGGTGTGAAAAGTTTTGGGATCGCTGCTGCCCCCAAGCAATATACATACTGACAAACAGACACCAACATAAAGGGGATATATACACCATTTTGAAGCTCAAGGAAAGCTTCCCACCACCAATCCACAAGGTGTTAACACAATTGAGCAAGACTTTTAGATAGATTGTTAAAATTATAGGGATTTAGGCGGGGAAGGAAGAAAAGAGAAAATAAAAACTGAATAGTACGAAATTGGTATTGATTTGATGTGTTACGATGTGATACAAACTACGAAGAACTAATCCTGATTTATACTTATATTAGACTCCAAATCCTAATTAAATGAGGAAATAGATCATGAAATATAAAGAAATAAGGAAACTATTAACAGATCATTTAAGATACTCTAAACTATTCCAAGATACAAATAACATATTATGAGATATTTTTCACATATTCTAACGCTCCCTCTCAAGCTAAAGCTTACTAAGCTTTGAGTTTGTTACAAATGACTCCTTTAAAAAATGAAAAATTTGGGTTAAAAGGCAACTCAAGGATGCTTGAGACGTCAAAGAGATGAGCATTGATGGAAAGGAAAACTCAACAAGATGGATGAAATATCTATTATTAACCTTAAGAGCTGGTTGAAATGTTGCATGACCAAGGAATAAGAGACTTCACTGGAATGATCATCAGCGAGAATGTCTTGGCAAACCACATTATACACAACAAGAATTAAAACTTCTCCAAATTCATCAAGTACAACATTTGGAAGCTTCACACCACAAGAAAACTTAGGAGATCCAAAATATTGAAATTGATATTACAGCAAGTGTGAATCACAGCCATGGAGAATTCATAACTAGCATGACTCATCAGTGAGATAGGAGAAATCACCATTGGTATGATTCACAATGGGAGGCTGACATAAATCACAGCCAATTCATTACTAACTCATCATTGTATGACTAGTTGGTAAAAAAATAAATCACCAAAATGATTGTCGGTTGGAAGAGAACAATATGAGTAGGGCCAAGCAGACAGGGCTAGAGCATCTGCAAAAAAGGCCAAGGCCAAAGCACGGTTGGGACAAAGATTGGGGCTGTAACACACTTGGAGAAAAATAGGCAAGGCCAAATTGCATCTAGAACAAAGGCTAGGCCCAGAAACCTTCCAAATTTCTCCCCCTCAATGCTATGTTGGCATTGGAAAATAGACAATTAGGTGGATGACACTACCTTACGAATTTTGTGCACAAGATGTGTATCTTGTTTCAAACAGATCATGAATGCGTGAAGCCATTTTTCACTAAAACAAAGGCTGGGTAAATCGGAAGACCAAAGAACATAAAGGATCGTTACTTTGAGCAACAAAGAAACAATTACCTAGGAATGACATTGGAGGCAAGTCAAATGATGACAGGAATGGCACAAACAGTGCAGGCTGAAAGATGGGTATGAACAACCCATTACTTGACCAATGTCTTTTGGATGAGGTGAGGCCATATATGGGCAGAGGAAAGAAGGTCAAGTATTGTGCAACAAGCACAACTGGAGATGATACCAAACGAGTTACTATGTGCGACTAAAAGGATGAGGCATGGGGCGAGTAGAGGACAAGACGAGCCCGATGGTGTGGTTATCGGTCAGAAATTTCACTGAATGGGGGTGGGTAGCAGTTGGTAGTGGCTTGCGGCATAACAAAAATTGAGAAATGACTTTCAAAGGCACATGATGACATGTGGAGCAACGGACATCAGTGGTTTAAATCTGAGGTTTCTAGATCAGGTCAGAAATTCTTCCGGTCACTAAAAATTAATGGCGCGGAAGTGGATTGTTGGAAGGAGGCTTGGCAGGACAGGCTCGTCAGTATTGAGGTGCACTGAGGAGAAAAGGTCTCTTGTGAGGTGGGCTTGACATGTTTGGAAATATTTGTAGCTGGACGTAGGCACAACTGGTTTAGGGTTTGGTGAGAAACGAGAAGTAAAGAATCGTGGAGATAATGACATCATTACAATGGGGTTTCAGATTTTAGGAAACTAAACAATGGAATAATGATGGGATAGGGCATGGAGAATGGCACTTCACAGATACCATGTTGAAATTATATGGATTTAGGTAGGGAAGGAAGAAAGGAGAAACTAAAGGCTGAATAATATGAAATGGGTATTGATTTGATGTGTTACGATGAAAAACTACAAAGAACTAATCCCTATTTATGCTAATATCAAATCTTAATTAAATAAGGAAACAGATCATGAAATATAAAGAAATAAGGAAACTATTTCTAAGAGATCATCTAACATACTCTAAACTACTCTAACATATAATCAAGATATTATATGACATTTTTCATACATTCTAATAGAGATAAATATGTAAGTCTTAAGCAACAGCAAGATAAAGCACAACCTCCCTGGTACATATCCAATTAAAAGTAATATGTTAATCATGTGAATCATTCCATCTTATATATAACCTGAGTCGTATATAAAACTAAGATACGTTTGCAATTTCATGCGAAGCTTACTGCGAAAAAGATGTTTCTCCAAGCTCCCACTTGCCATGTATTCATAGACCAATAACCGGTAATCATCCTCGCAGCAGTATCCAATGAGCTTCACAAGATTCGGGTGACTGAATTGACCTAAATAATTAACTTCAGCCTGAAAAAGTACACAAAATCAGGCGGATAAGTTTGGTCCTGTCATTCTTACCACCTTAACTATCATCATAATTATTCGAACACAAAATTGAATTCAATTATGAGAATGCTTGGCAACAAAATGGTCCGTTACTTTCTCTTCTCAAGTTTCTCTTTTAAGAAAAAGAGAGAGTAAAAAATTAGTATAGAAATAAACTCCTAACCATATACATATACAATTATACACCACTCTTTTTCGTTCAGTATTGTAAATGTGAATTGTAAAAAAACATGTTTAATGTTAAAGGACAAGAAGGAGTTGAGAGAGAGAGAGAGAGAGTGAGAGAGAGTAGGATAAGTAAGTTACTCACGAGCCATTCCCTATCGCCTTGAAAGCCTTCGCGATTTAGCTCCTTAATGGCAACTTCAGTGGAATTGTAACCTGACCTGACACTATCATCTATGACTCCTTTATACACAACTCCAAAGCCACCCTCTCCCAAAATGAAATCGGGACGAAAGTGTTTGGTAGCTAGCCTCAGCTCCTCATACGTAAAAATATCAACATTGCTGTGTACAGCACTTTGGCGGAGATCTTTGATATTCATCGAACTTGAACCTAATGGAGTTGTTGATGCACCAGATTCATGTCCTACTAATCCTATTTCTAAATCAGTATATGATAATCAACAAAGACAATAGATCAGATCAGATCATGAAATGAAATGAAATGAAATTACCTGAAGATTTATTATGCTTTGAATTTGAATCAGAGACGGAGACGTGCTTTTGTTCTTCAATGCTGAAGCAAATCCCCATGAATCTGGATCTAAATCGAAACAGAACAAGACAACATTCACGTACATTTACATTTGCATCGATTTGAGATGGTTCACAAGAATTGGAATCTAACTTAGAATTTGAACAGTTAGAAAGAGATAATAAAGAGAGAAACCCAAGGGTTGAATTTGACACAAACGAGTGAAGAATCATTCAAAGCTCGATCGCATTGTTTCGACCGATGGGCGTCGAAAGCGCCAAACTTCACGCTCCCATTCTTGCTTTCCTTCCTTCCACTTACACAATATACCTTCCACTTGCACACTATTTTCACCTTTGCCATTTCTCTCACCATTTTCTGTTGCTATGCTATTTGTAAACTATTCAAAATATGCAATTTTAGTAGCAAGAGGTGTAAGAAGAAATTAGTAAGAGGTGAAAGTAGAATAGCTACTAAGTATAATCTCTCTCATTTTATTATGAAAAAAATATTTCTATTTTTAACTATTTTTTTTTTGAAATTTAAATTAAAAAAAATCTCTTATATTCTCTTCTTTTATGATTTTTATTATTTATCTTTTTCTCTCAATTAAAATGATATAATTATATGTCATTTTTAAAGGATAAATATTAATCTCTTTTATTATATACTAATAAATTAGGGAAAAATATTTCTACTTTTGTTGTAAGAAATATTTCTCTTCTACGTTCATATAAAAGTGAGAGATGTGATAGAAAGATATTTTTAAAACAAAAACAAAAACATTAAATCCGATAAATTAATATAAAAAGATTGCACTAACAATGTTTTATATTTCATACATGCTCTAGTATAATTTAAGGGTTTTAGAAAAAAAAATTCTTACATACACAAGGTTTTTTTACCTACAAAATGTGAATTTAAAAAAAGTTCACTCATTGACCAAACATTTTACCGGACTAATATAGAAAGACACGTTTCAAGTGGCTACGCGTTTAGTCGCTCACCTGACACATGCGTATTTCTGACTGTGACGCGATTATGCCACGGAACGCGTGCTGAACATGACGCATTTTTGATATTGCGCAGGTCAGACTTGTCAGACACGCGCACCTGGTACATACGTATTCAGATGCGCACCAAATACAGACGTGTTCAGATTTGTCAAAAATGTGCATTTGGTACAGACGTGTTTAGACACATACGAGGTACAGACGTGTTCAAATTTGTCAGAAACGCGCATGTGTTATGTGCGGGACTAAATGCGTAGCCACCTGAAACGCGTCTTCCTGCATTAGTCTGATAAAACGTTTGGTTAACAAACTAAACAAGTGAATTTTTTGGAAATTCGCATTTCTTAATTCAAAAATCCTACATACACATATTTGAAATGGTCTCATCATTAAAAAATTTAAAAAAAATATCAAAATACATAAAACGATGTACATGTGGCAGGAGAAATACTTTTTCCAACCACATGAAAAAGTAATTTCCCACAATTAAAAATAAATCAGAAAGTATTTTCTTATAATTTAAGCCAATTTCCTTCGTCTCAAAACATATCAGAAACATTTCCTCTGTTTCATACGATGGTTTGTTTACTTAATTTTTTAGGCATAAGGAATGATTCATCACTCAGTTTGAATCACCATTCAGCAACTAAATAATTTCTTTTTATTTACTTATCAGATAATTGTCTTTCTCTTGATTTCCATTAAAAATACGTGTGAACTATAAATATTAGATAAAGGAGGAGGAGCACGAAGAAACTGGAAAAAAGAAAAGAAAAAAAGAACTGACCTTTCAATTCAATGGAAAAATTTAATATTCAGGGGACACGGGTAGTTTAAAAAAAGAACTCATGCTTCTCCTAAATATTCATGTGGGTGGGTAGTTTAAAATAAAATTATATATTATATATTTGGAGAAAAATATAATTATAATATTAAAATAATTTTTTTTTCACTTTTAAGAAACATATCATGCCGATGTGTTATACTTTTATTAATTAGGAATAATTATCATTGCGGAATTGATCTTAATATATAAGGTAAATCAAAAGTTGTTATATAATGTAACAAAATTTTTTTACACGAGAAAAGAGAAGAAATAAAAGAGAAAAATTAAGGGATAAAATCCACATCAAATTATATGTAAGAAAATTATGTTATATCATGTAAGGGAAAAATATTTCTGCAGTTAATGCAGATAAGTTATCTGTATTTATTTTCAAAACGACGTCATTTTGGTATTGAAATCTTAAAAAATTATAAATATAAAGACTATTATAATCCTGAAATAAATTAAAATTATAAAAATACCATGATTTCTGTACCAAAACGACATCGTATTAGACTTACTGCAAATAATTTATCTGCAGTAATTACAGAAAAAGCGAACTTTCGTCTAATATAATAAGGGTTTTATAATTCTCATTCAACATGAGAATTCAAATTTTCCTATATCCCCTTCGATTTCCGTGCTGACATGGGTTCTACATATAATTTTTTCCAACACATGAGTCCCACATACTTTTTATCTCTACAACATGAAAATTGAATTCTCATTCAACATGAGAAAACCAAACCCCATATAATAAACATAGAACCCTAATATATATATTGCTGGAAATGAAAATGTTGGCATTCGAGACGCAGAATCGCGACAATAACTTCTCACGTGCATTGAATATTCAATGATGGCTCACGTACATTCAATATTTAATGATGATTCACGATCATACTTCAAAATATTTGATTGATTGAGATTGACTGGAGCACGAATCACTAAAGTAGGGAAATATTTTTTATGCTCGAGGACCATTAATAATTTAGTGCTCTTTCTCACAACATTAATTTTATTTTTTTTACTTTTATTATTTTTCTTCTTTTTCAATTTTATCCTTCTATTTACACTAAGGGACCACCTAAAAAATAGTGATCCTGGACCATAATAAATCCTCTCGTAAAGTAAATTAATTAGTTTTTAAGTACCCCATGTGAAGGCTCATTTAGTATGTATAATTTTTTTTAGGATGCTTATATTGAGAATTTTTTTTTGGGTTTGTTTTTTCTGCAGTTACTGCAGATAAGTTATTGTCGCAACCGTATCGCGACGTGACGGCGAAAGAATATTAAATGTTTAAAACAATGAAGTCGCCACCAAAGTTTATTTAGGAAAACATTGGAAAAACCTTTTTTAAAGACAACTGGTCTTTGAAAACAAAAGAAATGGATTCGGGAGTCGATTACGAGTAGGGAAGGTATTAGCACCCTACACCGTCCGTTAAAAAACGGTTACCTTATATCAATTGTGCAAATTATTGATAATATTTTAAATATTTATTTCACCCTAAATAAATAAAATTGATCGTTGGAAAAGAAAACTAATTTTGAAATTTTATTTTTGTGCTTGACGGGATGGTCCCGCTCCGACGTATCCCTCGGTACAATAGGGAACTCAAAGCTACGTCGTTCTGTAGAAAATATTTGTGTGTTGATTGATTTTATTTTTTTTGAAAGTAGTTTTAATTTGAAAATTTTGGATTTGATGGTTTCGGAATATCAAACTGTCGCAGTTAAAATAATCCGAAATGATAATTGCAGGATTAACAAGCTATCTCAACTCAGCTAATCCTTTTTTAGAAGAATAATAATATTCATATTATTATTTTTTGTTATCGTAAATTTTATGATAAATTTGATTTAATTTTGAATCACCAAGCCGTCTCGGCAAAAATGAGTCAAAAATAAAATGTGTGTGTGGGGTCAATGGAAAATTTTGGATTTGATGGTTTCGGAATATCAAACTGTCGCAGTTAAAATAATCCGAAATGATAATTGCAGGATTAACCCATTTCAATAATGATATCAAACTAATTTTTTATTCCTTATGTTTTAATTAACCCAAAATCTAATTTTTTATTCCTTATGTTTTAATTAACCCAAAATCAAATAGTTTTAAATAAAACCTTGATTTTTTTGTTTGTTTGTTTGTTTATTATTACTAAATGGTCTAAAATCATCGGACTGTCACAGTCGAAATGATTCTAAAGAATAAAGGAATTAACAAGCTGTCACAACTCAGCTAATCCTTTTAACATATATTTCATGTTATTTTATGATAAACTTAAATAAAATTTGAATCACCAAGTCGTCTCGACCAAAATGATCCAAAACAAAATCTATGGGATTAACAAACCGTCACGGTTAAATTACCCATGTAAATCTAATACGATAATTTTTATTTAGAATTATTGATAAAATCTAACTGGATTTTAGGTCATCGTTAGTATACTGTAAAAAAATATTATTTGAGAAATTGCAACATGTTATAATAAACAACAAAAAAACAAAGTTATTATGTTACCTTCAAAAGGCAACGCTGTGAATGCGCAGGTACATGGACCAAAAACAATGATGTTTGCAAATTTATATTATTAAAATATTCAAATTGTTTGTTATCAAAAAAAAAAAAATATTCAAATTGTTTTATAACACGACAAAGTATTGTTACCATTGTTAGTATAAAGCAAAGAAATTGGAATGAGTCAAACAAATGGCATATTGCTTCGTGAGTGTGCATGCCATGGAGCTTAAGTTTGATGATCCATTAAAACAACTCTTTAACAAGAATCAAAAGATACAATGAAATATTAAATATTAAAACATGCAACATGACAGCATTCATCATGATGGCGTACGTGCCTAGATCAAGAAAGCTGAAATTTGCTATTCATTTCATATATATCTTATAACTTAGAATGTGGTTCCTGAACCACCTTTTTCTTGTTTTCCACATTTGTTTCTAATATTTATGCCCTTGTGACACCATTTAATATTATAATAAATAGCAAATACAAAGACACAAAAGGAACCCTTTGAAATGAAAGGTGCACACGCATTCTTTAGCAACGTATACACATATTGAATGACTAATGCATATAAATTTCTTTTAACCAAAATATTAAAACTGACCTTGAGTTTAGAATCCATGGTGGAGAGAAACTGAGCAAGATACTCCTCGTAACATCTTGATTGAAATGTGTAACTCTTGGAGGTTGCTTCAGTCAGCAGTGGTAATGGCAAACATAGGTGATCAGGAATGGAAAATAAAGGAGAAGGTTCTTGAATCTTTTACTGTGAAGAAGATGACATATTGATATCTCTTATTGGTTTCACCTCCTTCTTTTTAGAAATAAAATAATTTCTGAACCTCTTAACCCCTCTCTTCGTTGTATTTGTTCTCCTTTTCTATTTTCT